AAAAAGGAATGAACAAAGTCTCCAAGAAATGTGGGACTATGTGAAAAGACCTAACCTACGTTTGATAGGTGTACCAGAAGGGGACGAAGAGAATGAATCCAAGCTGGAAAATACTCTTCAGGACATCATCCAGGAAAACTTCCCCCACCTAGCAAGACAGGCCAACACTCAAATGCAGGAAATACAGAGAACACCACAGAGATATTCCGCAAGAAGAGCAACCCCAAGGCACATAATCGTCAGATTCAACAAGGTTGAAATAAAGGAGAAAACACTAAGGGCAGCCAGAGAGAAAGGTCGAGTTACCCACAAAGGGAAGCCCATCAGACTCACAGCAGATCTCTCGGCAGAAACACTACAAGCCAGAAGAGAGTGGGGGCCAATATTCAATATCCTTAAAGAAAAGAACTTTCAACCCAGAATTTCATATCCAGCCAAACTGAGCTTCAGAAGTGAAGGAAAAATAAAATCCTTTGTGAACAAGCAAGTACTCAGAGATTTTGTCTCCACCAGGCCTGCTTTACAAGAGCTCCTAAAAGAGGCACTACACATAGAAAGGAACAACCAGTACCAGCCATTCCAAAATCACACTAAATGCTAAAGAGCATCAACATAATAAAGAATCTACAACAACTAACAGACAAAACAGCCACTTAGCATCAAAATGGCAGTATCAAATTCACACATAACAATATTAACCCTAAATGTAAATGGACTAAATGCACCAATCAAAAGACACAGACTGGCAAATTGGATAAAAATCCAAAAACCATCAGTGTGCTGTATCCAGGAAACCCATCTCACATGCAAGGATACACAAAGGCTCAAAACAAAGGGATGGAGGAAGATTTACCAAGCAAATGGAGAGCAAAAGAAAGCAGGAGTTGCAATACTCGTCTCTGATAAAATAGACTTTAAAGCAACAAAGATCAAAAGAGACAAAGAAGGCCATTACATAATGGTAAAAGGATCGATACAACAAGAAGAGCTAATGATCCTAAACATATATGGACCCAATGCAGGAGCACCCAGATACATAAGGCAAGTTCTTAATGAGTTACAAAGAGACTTAGACTCCCACACAATAATAGTGGGAGACTTTAACACTCTACTGTCAATATTAGACAGATCAACCAGACAGAAAATCAACAAGGATATCCAGGGCTTGAACTCAGACCTGGAGCAAGCAAACCTGATAGACATTTACAGAACTCTCCACCCCAAATCCACAGAATATACATTCTTCTCAGCACCACATCACACCTACTCAAAAATTGACCACATAATTGGAAGTAAAGCACTGCTCAACAAATGCAAAACAACTGAAATCATAACAAACAGCCTCTCAGACCATAGTGCAATCAAGTTAGAACTCAGAATACAGAAACCAACCCAGAACCGCACAGCTTCATGGAAACTGAACAACTGGCTCTTGAATGTTGACTGGGTAAAAAATGAAATGAAGTCAGAAATAAAGAAGTTCTTCAAAACCAATGAGAATGAAGACACAACATGCCAGAACCTCTGGGACACATTTAAAGCAGTCTCTAGAGGAAAGTATATAGCAATAAGTGCCCATATGAGGAGAATGGAGAGATCCAAAATTGACACCCTATCATCAAAATTGAAAGAGCTAGAGGAGCAAGATCAAAAAAACTCAAAACCCAGCAGAAGACAAGAAATAACTAAGATCAGAGCTGAACTGAAGGAGATTGAGACACGAAAAACCCTTCAAAAAATCAATAAATCCAAGAGCTGGTTTTTTGAAAAGATCAACAAAATAGACAGACCACTAGCCAGATTGATTAAAAAGAAAAGAGAGAACAACCAAATAGATGCAATAAAAAATAATAAAGGGGAAATCACCACAGATTCCACAGAAATTCAAACCATCATCAGAGAATATTACAAACAACTCTATGCGCATAAACTAGTAAACCTGGAAGAAATGGATAAATTCCTGGACTCCTGTGTCCTCCCAAGCCTAAACCAGGAGGAAGCTGAAACTATGAATAGACCAATAACAAGGTCAGAAGTCGAGGCAGCAATTAAGAGCCTACCACAAAAAAAAAGCCCAGGTCCAGACGGGTTCACAGCCGAATTCTACCAGACACACAAAGAGGAGCTGGTACCATTCCTTCTAAAACTATTTCAAACAATCCAAAAAGAGGGAATACTTCCCAAATCATTTTACGAGACCAACATCATTCTGATACCAAAACCCGGCAGAGACCCAACAAGAAAAGAAAACTTCAGGCCAATATCCATGATGAACATAGATGCAAAAATCTTCAATAAAATATTGGCAAGCCGATTGCAACAGCAAATCAAAAAACTTATTCACCATGATCAAGTAGGATTCATCCCGGGGATGCAAGGCTGGTTCAACATACGCAAGTCTATAAATGTAATTCACCACATAAACAGAACCAAAAACAAAAACCACATGATTATCTCAATTGACGCAGAGAAGGCATTTGACAAAATTCAACAGCCCTTTATGCTAAAAACCCTCAATAAACTCAGTATCGATGGAACGTATCTCAAAGGAATAAAAGCTATTTATGACAAACCAACAGCCAATATCATACTGAATGGGCAAAAACTGGAAGCATTCCCTTTGAAATCTGGCACTAGACAAGGATGCCCTCTTTCACCACTCCTATTCAATATAGTTCTGGAAGTTCTAGCCAGAGCAATCAGGCAAGAAAAAGAAATAAAGGGTATTCAAATAGGAAAGGTGGAAGCCAAATTGTCTCTATTTGCATACGACATGATAGTATACCTAGAAGACCCCATCACCTCAGCCCAAAAACTCCTGAAACTGATAAGCAACTTCAGCAAAGTCTCAGGATATAAAATCAATGTGCAAAAATCACAAACATTCGTCTACACCAATAACAGACTTAAAGAAAGCCAAATCAAGAACGAACTACCATTCACAATTGCTACAAAAAGAATAAAATACCTTGGAATACAACTCACAAGGAACGTAAGGGACCTCTTCAAGGAGAACTACAAACCACTGCTCAACGAAATCAGAGAGGACACAAACAGATGGAGAAACATTCCATGTTCATGGTTAGGAAGAATTAATATCGTGAAAATGGCTATACTGCCCAAAGTAATTTACAGAATCAACGCTATCCCCATCAAGCTACCATTGACTTTCTTCACAGAACTGGAAAAAACCACCATGAACTTCATATGGAACCAAAAGAGAGCCCGCATAGCCAAGTCAATTCTAAGCAAAAAGAACACAGCGGGGGGCATCACACTACCGGATTTCAAACTATACTACAAGGCTACAGTAATCAAAACAGCATGGTATTGGTACCAAAACAGAGATATAGACCAATGGAACAAAACAGAGGCACCGGAGGCAACACAACATATCTACAACTATACAATCTTTGATAAACCTGACAAAAACAAGCAAGGGGGAAAGGATTCCCTGTTTAACAAATGGTGTTGGGAAAACTGGCTAGCCACGTGCAGAAAGCAGAAACTGGACCCCTTCCTGACACCTTACACTAAAATTAACTCCAGATGGATTCAAGACTTAAACATAAGACCTGGCACGATAAAAACCCTAGAAGGAAATCTAGGCAAAACTATCCAGGACATAGGAGTAGGCAAGGACTTCATGAACAAAACACCAAAAGCATTGGCAACAAAAGCCAAAATAGACAAATGGGACCTAATGAAACTCCACAGCTTCTGCATGGCACAAGAAACAGTCACTAGAGTGGATTGGCAACCAACAGAATGGGAAAAAATTTTTGCAGTTTACCCATCTGACAAAGGGCTGATATCCAGAATTTACAAACAACTCAAGCAGATTTACAGGAAAAAAACAAACACGCCCATTCAAAAGTGGGCAAAGGATATGAACAGACACTTTACGAAAGAAGACATATATGAGGCCAACAATCGTATGAAAAAATGCTCATCGTCACTGGTCATCAGAGAGATGCAAATCAAAACCACATTGAGATACCATCTCACGCCAGTTAGAATGGCGATCATTAAAAAATCTGGAGACAACAGATGCTGGAGAGGATGTGGAGAAAAAGGAACACTTTTACACTGTTGGTGGGAGTGTAAATTAGTTCAACCATTGTGGAAGACAGTGTGGCGATTCCTCAAGGCATTAGAAATAGAAATTCCATTTGACCCAGCAATCCCATTACTGGGTATATATCCAAAAGACTATAAATCGTTCTACTATAAGGACACATGTACACGAATGTTCATTGCAGCACTGTTTACAATAGCAAAGACCTGGAATCAACCAAAATGCCCATTGATAATAGACTGGATTGGAAAAATGTGGCACATATACACCATGGAATATTATGCAGCAATCAGAAATGAAGAGTTTTTGTCGTTTGTAGGGACATAGATGAATCTGGAGAACGTCATCCTCAGCAAACTGACACAAGAACAGAAAATGAAACACCGCATATTCTCACTCATAGGCGAGTGATGAAAAATGAGAACACATGGACACAGAAAGGGGAGTACTAAACACTGGGGTCTATTGGGGGGAAAAGGGGAGGGCCAGTGGGAGGGGGAGGTGGGGAGGGATAGCCTGGGGAGAAATGCCAAATGTGGGTGAAGGGGAGAAGGAAAGAAAAGCACACTGCCACGTGTGTTCCTATGCAACTGTCTTGCATGCTCTGCTCATGTACCCCAAAACCTAAAATCCAATAAAAAATTAAAAAAAAATATTTTTCCAAACTTTGAAATAATTTTAAAAGAGATACATTGAGAGACTGTACTCAGAAGTCCTTCTAATTTCTCTTTCCCTCCGCCCTTCTGATTTCCTATAGATATGTACGTAAACCATCTCCTCCAGGCTACTATGATTAAATGTCACGTATCAACTAGGAAAAGGGCCTAGTATAAGAAATGTATTTCTTACAGGTGTGCCTACACCTGAAACAAACCCTCTAATTTATAAGTGAAATAAAAGCCAAATAAAACCAGAAAAAAACTGAATGTCTGATTTATTTTATTTAAGATTGGTTTATAAGGCTTAAATATATCTGTCATAGTTAACAGTTAACAGCAAATAAAGGCAACTTTACAAAATCAGTGTTTCCATACAGTACAGGACTAAATGTGGCAACTGTGCATTGGAAAATTAATATTTCCTCAATGCAAATATTAAATCTGCAGCACCATTTAGAAGCTTCCACTAAAAACTCAAGCTGCAGTATTTATTACAAGCTCTACTCAGAACACAAGGCTACCTAAATCAAGCATTAGAGAAAAACAGTGGAGTCATTCAGGCATAATATGTCAGATTTGGTACAGGATTAAAATACTAACATTTTTAATGTCCTGGTTTCAAATTAATAAATACAAAAACAATATAAAAATATACAACCAGTTGATAAGACTGTACTGCAGATGCTCAGACAGTTAAATCTCGCTCTCATATGTATGCAGGTATGTCTTGAGTGCCAGAATTTCTGGGTAGCTGCGGCTGGTCTTTCGGAAGAAGTCCAGGCTGGTAAGATGTTCGATGTCACGCACCCGAGCTGTGTGCATCTTCATGAGTTCTTCTACCCATTTCGACTCATCCTCTGAGTTCTGCAATGGAAATAGAACAAAATCAGAATCAGAATTTTCCAGAGGAGTTTCTCTAGATGGTTTACTCCAAGTCCACAAATGACCTCTGTGCACTCTTGCACACAGAGCCGATGCATGTTGATCCTTCCTGGCGTCCCTGCCACTCTACCACACTCCTATTGGTAATGTGCCACAAATACCTGCCCTTGGCCGTAAACATTTTCAACAGCAATTAACTGTACCAAATAAACGAGACATGTGGTGTCAGAGGGCATTTGACTCAATGGGTTCTCAGAACATAAATCAAATTTAGGAAAACCAAAGGCCCTAGAGAATTCAGTAATTTGTTTCTTTTCCAAGCTGTCAAATTGCAATATTGAGCACAGAGTACAAGTAATTTGGAATATGCTTCTGCTTCCCAAGGAAAGTGAAGAACTTAAGCCTAATGCACAAAATTGTGTGTGTGCATTCCTAGTTTTTCAAAAGAAACTGCTACATCAACTACATCGTCTACTCGTATGCATGAATTGCTATTTGAAAAATGAGGTCAACTCGAAGCTGCTCAGTGGATACATCTGGCACTTTGGAGCCCAAGAGGCCAGAGCTGGAAATGAGGCTCTACCATTTCTTGGCTATGAAACCTTGGTCAAGCTACTTGACTTCTTGAGGCCTCAGTTTCCTCCTTGGTTCACAAGGATAATAATGCTTACTTCTGCAGCTCCCTGGGAGGTAGAAAGGAGAAGAAGGAAGAAGGAGGGGGGAGGTAAAGTAAGGAAACACAGAAGAAAGGAAGTGAATCTCTGTCTTAGCTGCTTGCCGAAAACTGCCCCATTGATGCAAGTTCCAGATGAAAGATATTCAAATGTCCTGCATCAAACAACCTACTTCATGTCTAACCTGAAACTGAAAGGTAATTCCAGCAAAGCAGTTCTTTGCATCTCAAAAATAGCTTCTTTCATTTTTGTGGGAAATTGAGGGAAAGAGTGAAATCTGCGAGCGCTGTGAATATGGAGTCATGTAGACTTTCGTTAGTAGACATAGAGCAGGAGGACCTTTGCAAGTAATTCCGTTCACAAACACCCCTGGAATTGCAATGGCTTCCCAGAGTCCTTCTACAGGTTGCAGGGTGGCTGCATGTCCCAGGGCTGAGAATATTCAGACATGCCCTCATCCAACACTTTGCCAGTAGTGGTCTCAATGAATTATCCACCAAAGCCCAAGAACCTGCAACGGGCTTTCTCGGAAAGCTCCAACCCACAGACCTGGACAAGGAACTGCAGCAGCTTATGCCAGGTCTAAATATGTTCCAGGAGGGTGTTGGTTCAGGAAACTGATTCCCGGTCATCCCAGGAAAAATGAAAAAAGGGGAAGAAATTGCTTTGCAGGGTGGGGAAGTAAGGATTTTAACCTTCACGTCCCACCCTCCTAACCCAACCTAACCAAGATCTCTGCGATTCACAGGAAAGGAAAGACCTAAATATAACTTTACCCACAATGGTACTGACCAATCCTCAGTGTGACCCTATAATTAACGAAGTAGGAGGTCTCCAGACCGGTCAGGACCCCCTCAGACCAAGCAGGGCAAGTATGAGCATGTATTTTGAGAGAATTTTCATATTCAGCTCATTTGTTTGATTTTTCAATGGTCAGTCAGTCCAATTTTTTGCAGTAATTTGTAAAAGCAGTCATTTGAATGTGTGGACAGGGGTGAAAAGGTTTTCCCTAATTTAAATAATGGCTAGCTGGGATTATAAGAATTCTGAAAAAACATCTGTCTTTTGCTATTTCTTTCCTTGGGAAATGATATGCCAATTTCATTGGAGAGGCAGTCTCTTCTGGTCCTCACACCCTGAAATCTATCAACATTAGGAAATGCTGGCTATGTTGCACGTGAAGAAAACATCCTCTGCCTTGATGTTTAGCTGGCAGTCCACAGAAGTATTTGCTGATGAAGACTGTTCTGCAAGATGCAAAACTAATACAATTCAAATAAAAGTTCATGTGCAGCAAGGTAGGAAGGACAGGAAAGACTTTAAAATAAATCACTTAGAATATTAATGCAAACAAAAGCAAAAAACCCATGAGCTTGCTTGTCTTCCTCACTATGGCTATTTATTCTTCACCTGTCTTTTCTCCCTTTCTCCCCAGGTTTGTGAATTCAAGCCCCAGCAGTTTTAAGGTAAAATTCACAGCAAGGACAGATGTCTATGTGAACAGGTGAGCCTTCAATGAGAGGCATGCTGGCCATGAACTCTATAAAAAACATCTCCAAACTGTGCAGTCAGAAACCAGCAGGGAGAGGAAAACCTTTGAGGATTTCAGAGGATTTCATTTTTCAGACATAAAATTTAGATCAATTATAGAACATCCTTTGCACAGAGTTTACAGCAGTATTATAAAAACTCCCCATCACCAAATTCCTCTAATGACAGAACTTGAACATGTATTCCTCAGGAATCTAAGTATACCTTAAATGGCCTACTATATACATAAAATTTCTTTGTGGTCTTTTCTTTATGGCAATTTTTAATTTTACCCCATAATACAATTGTTTAATATTTTGCAAGAATTTCACCTCCCACAAGTTTGTAATAAAAATGAAGCTCAGAGAATGTATACCATGTTGTATGGAGGCATTACATCCACCTGGTACCCTTGTGGTTACAAACAACCAAAACTGAGAAGGTCAAGCCAGTAAGTTGATAACAGCTTGTCTCTCAATTGCAGTTTTCATATTTCTCTACACCCGTTCCATCATTTATAGAACCCTACTGATCCTTCAAGTATAATATTGTTGTCTTCCATTCTTCTATTTAAATCTCCAAGGCCACAGTTCCAATTTAAGTTCTCTTGCCTCACTCCTGTGAATCTTGCCAAAGCCCTTCGAGCACCATGTTCAGCCTCCTCCATTTCATGCTCATCTTCCTAAAGCAAAGCCTAAAATGTTGCTCTTCCAACTAAACATTTTCCTTGGGTACCTAACGCCTGAAAAGTAAGAAAAAATTCCTAAAGTTCCAAGTTTGTACTAAGGAAATCTGATAAACTGGAAAAAGGATGGGCTCTTGGAGTCAGAGGCCTTAAATCTGAACCTCTGCTCTTCTACTGACTAACCGAGTAACCACACAACACAATTTTCCCTTATTAGCTACAGGTTCCTCAACAGTTAACAAAGGGCAGGGGAGAGATCATGTGTATACACATTTGCCTCGCACTGTGATCAAATGATTAGAAATAATATATGTAGAGGACCTGCACAGAGACTGGATCACAACATGTACTCAATACATGACAGCAACCAGACTACTGCTGCTACTATTATGACTACAATTGTTACTATTGCTACTTCTACTTTTCTAAAAATTTGATTCCAATCAACGTTTAAAATCTTTTCTCCCACTATTGGCCCTCAGTTACAATATTCAGGCAAAACTTAATTCACTTTCTGGGATATATGTAACATTTCTAATTTTCTTCTACATTCGTAGCCTCAATCTTCACCCATAACTAAAGTAATAATCAAAAACTATCTTGCCCACGAAGCTCATCATCTCTACTGAAGCTATTCTTACGGCTCCCTGCCCTTCAGTGTTGCCATTTCCATATCTGTTTTATTTGTTGACCCCCTCTCAAGGCTGCCTAGGAATAGTGACTATGTCTAATATACTATTGTTTCTCCTAGAGCACCTTATACACTTAGGAATTTGAGTAGTACTTGTTGACTAAAGGTTATCTTCTGTATATTACATCTCTACTCCTTCTATTATGTGAAACAAAAGCATAGACTATTACTTCTAAAATCAACCTTTGAGCACAAACTTAACCACATTAGAAGGACCTGAAGATTTTTTTATTTGTCCCTGAGTGCCAAGTTAGTATAGGGCCAGCAGCATATAGCATGGCTCCTATCTTTTTTCATGATGTCATCTTGTATCCCAGCTGTCCCTCCGGAGGAAGAGTAAATCAGGAGTCATCTGTGGTATCTGAGAAAAGAGTGACTGTTACACCATCATCATAACTAGTAGCAAACCTGATTAGTAAGGTGTAGATTTCTCTCTTGCTCGCTCTTGCTGTGTGTGTGTGTGCATTAAAAAGTTTTTTTATGGGCTGGGCACAGTGGCTCATGCCTGTAGTACCAGCACTTTGGGAAGCCGAGGCAAGTGGATCACCTGAGGTGAGAAGTTCAAGACCAGCCTGGCCAACAGGGTGAAACCCCATCTCTACTAAAATTCAAAAAATTAGCTGGGCATGGTGTTGCCTGCCTGTAATCCCAGCTACTTGGGAGGCTGAGGCAGGAGAATTACTTGAATCCAGGAGGTGGAGGTTACAGTGAGTCAAGATCACACCACTGCACTCCAGTCTGGGCAACAGAGCAAAACTCCATCTCAAAAAAAAAAAAAGTTTTTAATATGGAAATTTTCAAACATCCGGAAAAGTAAAGAGAGTAATATAAATTTCTATGAACTCTTACCAACTTTCAACAATTATCAACATTTTGCTAGTTTCCACTTTCTTTTCATAAAATTTTGCCATTCTCCACTTTTGTTTGTAAAATGAAAAACATTTGGACACTTAATTCTCAGAATTGCACACATTTATAGAATGATGTTAAATGCACACACACATATTGAAAAATAAAAAAAAACAATAGAAGACAAAATTCCTACGTGCTAAGCAAAGTTCTGTTTGGTTCCTTTCTTTCTTCTGTTTAGGGCTAGTGCTTTATAGTAAGTGTGTTCCAGTTCAATAATGGAAATATAGAGTAAGAAACAAAGGTGAACTATGGAAACAAATCCTCAAAGACTCTCTCTGTAAACTCACATTGCAGCTCTCATCGTTGTCAGGCCGGTGAGGCAAGATGAAGGAGGACACAGAGAGAGGGCCGTCACACTTGTCGGCAGGCTGAGTGAAATCCAGACAGCTGGTGATGATGCTGTAGTAGTGAGTTGGAACAGGAATGGAACTGCCTTCCACGTACCTGAAACGGGAAGGTAAAACTAAGTCACAGTTGATGAGTTGATGTTGAAGCTTCCTTTTTTTAAATGATGACATCCTACTGAGATGTACTGACTCAGGAAATCTAAGTGATTACATAAGTCCCTCCCAAAGAATGAAGATAAGTGGGAATGATCATCTTCCCATTGAAGAGTTGCTGAAGAAGCTATGACAAAAAAATTAAATCTTTTGATACATTTTCTTTCATAGAATGGAAAAGTGCATTTATTTACCACAAAACCCAAAATTCCATTTCAATCACCAGTGCCCATTTAATCAAAAGAATTGAAAAATTCAGGCTGGGCGCAGTGATTCACTCCTGTAATCCCAGCACTTTGGGAGGCCAAAGCAGGTAGATCGCTTGAGATCAGGAGTTCAAGACCAGCCTGACCAACATGGTGAAATCCCATCTCTACTAAAAATATACAAATTAGCTGGGCGTAGTGGTGGGTGCCTGTAAACCCAGTTACTTGGGAGGCTGAGGCAGGAGAATCATTTGAACCCAGGAGACAGAGGTTGCAGTGAGCCAAGATCATGCCACTGCACCCCAGCCTTGGTGACAGAGCAAGACTCCGTCTCAAAAAAAAAAAGAATTGAAAATTCAAAAGGAGATTCAAAGAGGAAAAGATTTAAGGGGCATCATCTCTTCTCCAGCACATGAATATTTGAAAAACCCCTTGAGTGAGAACTTGGGACTTAAGAATCACACACCAAGTAGAAATGAAAGGCTTACTGTTTGATTTTGTCCTCTGTGTCACGTAAGCCATCGTAGTCATAGTCAAAGATTGGTCCACTTATCACGTTAACTCCATTTCTTTCTGAAGCATATTTCTTCACCAATACCCTTTGGAAATAATTCCAGACCCCTGTGCAAAGACAGAAGTCAATTCTTCATGAAGAAAACTCCTTATTCTGGCCAAATTGTCTCTAGGATGCATGCTACCAGCCAAATGTCATAAGCCAAGAGACAAGAGAGTTGTCATGATTCATGAGACAAATCATTCTATGGCATCACCTGTGTGTGTGTGTGTGTGTGTGTGTGTGTGTGTGTGTGTGTGTGTGTCATTTACAAACCAGCAAAGGCAACAATGTAGAGCTACAAGACAGATGGTAGGGGAGTTTAACCCAGTCCAGTAAGTCAGGAAAGGATTCCCAGATGAAGTGAATCCTTCACTTTGGACCAAGCTGAGGTCCAAAGCATGAATAAGTAGGTGGTATTTCTCAGGCAAAACATGCCAGGCAGAGGGAACAGAATGTGCAAAACAGGAAGCATGGTGTTTCAGAGTAATGAAAATAAGAGTTTACTCTATCTTCTTGTCCTTCATGATGTCATCAATATGCTAGTTCCCAGGTTTAAGCTTCACCCCTGACCTTTCCCAGAGCTCCAGACATATTATCGAACCACCTACCTCCTAATGCACTGGAATACCTAATATTCATGTCAAGCAAAACATTATCCAAACAGAATTCTTTTAAATGTTCCTTCCTAAACCTGCCCCAACCGTCGCCTTCTCCATCATAATCAATAGCTCTGGCACTCACCCAGATATTTAGGCCAAAAGCCTCAGAGTTGTTCTTGTTTTCTCCCCTTGCAACAGACACATGTGAACCACTTCTGTCAGTGCTGTCACCAAAGTATACCCCAATCATCCCAAATCCTACCACCTCTCATCTTTTCCCTGCTTTTATCCTGGTCTAACTTACCATCCTCTCTGAAGTGAACTATCACAGCACAAAAGACTATTCCCTGGGCTCCCGGTGAAACACTTACTTCCCTTGTACCTTGTAGCCCACTCCCCCATATAGAAGCCTGATGGATCCTTTTAGACCATAAGTCAGGTCATCTCTTTCTCTTGCACACACACACACACACACACACACCACCCATTTGTAATTAGAATGAAAGCCTACTCCCCACCATAGTCTCTGCCTACCTCTGTGACTTTACTTCCTCCCCCTTTCCCTGTCAGGCGCAAGGCTTTCTTTTTGTCCCCTAACCTTGCCAAACTTATTTCAGGCTAAGCTTTGCCCTTGCTCTTTTCTTTGCCTGAAAAACTCATTCCCTGATCGGTGCATGTTGAGTTTCTCCTCTATAATTCATTTCTCACTTTCACGGTCATCCTCTGCAGAGAACTGCTTGTCCCCTCTGCCACTAACTTACATAATGGCCAACCAGAGGGGCAGAATGGAAACGGAGAAAAACAAGAGAATAACAGAAGACAGGATAGGCAAGCCGTGGGCTGGTTCTGAAACATGAGATCCAATTCACCATGCTCTCTTCAACATGGAGGTCATGAGGTTCTAGCTCTTAGCCCCTCCCCCCTCCCTTATTAAAAAGCACCTGGCCATCCTTCTCATAGTGCTTCAATTGCTCTTCATGCCTCCTGAAACTCCGAATGGCAGAGCAGCCCACAAGAGCCAAAATACCTTAGACAATTATTTGCAGTTGAGAAAGAAGCCAAATGGTAAGAAAGGAGCTCAAATGTTCACTTAAACATTAAGGAGAAGAAGAGAAGGAAAGAAATAACAATGAGAACAGTCAAAAGGCCAGGCCCGCAGAAATGTGGCATGTAAAGAAACCACCCCCATCGTGGAGAACAGCAAGCTCTCTGTGAAAGGCTTTCTCCACACCAGCCTCAGGGTGGTACCGTGTGCTGCCTTGATTACCATTTGGTCAAAAAACACTTCAATAAAGAATAAAGAAATCCAGGAAACCCCGATTTACAGAAATTAAATGAAGCTGCATTCTATGTAATATTGTGATAAATGTTAACTATGTGAGTTTCTGACATGTTTTTCAGTTGGGTCTAAGAACAAATCAAGAAACCTTTTAAAAGCATACTTTAATTTTTCACTCGTAAGCAATAAATTCTATCCTTGAATAAACCTTTATTTACTAACTAGGACCGTGTGGCCCTTTTCACCAGTATTAAGCTGCAGAGGCCTGCCAGTGTAGTCAACACTCCACAATCGCCCATTCCTATTTTGAGACTCCCTTTCAGCCCTGACTGTCCTGTAACACAGCCTAAACCTCCTCCAGCAAGTTGAAGCACATAGAGGTGCTTCCTTTTCCTACCTTTCCCATAACAACGTAAGGTCTGTTCACTACAAATGTACTGGAAAATGGTAACAGCTACTTCATAATGCTGACTCTATCTTTGAACACACGGATAGATAAAAGGATGGATGGATGGATGGATGGAGACACAAATGAATAAAGAAATATGAATTGCTTTGGCCATGGGATATAAGTCAAAAATCCATGTAGACCTTAGAGGTCATGCAATCAAATCTCTTAATTTTACAAATGAGAAGTTTAATGACATTTCTATGATCATACAGCCTATGGTCACACTCCAGGGACTTGGTAGTTTGGGCCCAAGCTCATTGTGCCTATACAATTCTTTACTTCACTAGCATCCACAAATATATATATGTCAGGTACAAAGAAATTACAAATGTTCAAAGAAACCAAAATAATAATTGGTATAGCACTAAAACCATCTGAAATAAATACTCTTATGATTCAGAAGACACTTTCGGCTCTTACTGGGTTTCAGGGTCAACATTCAGAATATGTCATCACCCCAAGAGGAAGAGGTGCCACTGGCTTTTACTGTAATGCTGAACAAATAACTATAGATGCTATTAAATATCAAGTGGCCTTCAAAATACAATGAAGACCCTTTTTTACCATTAAAACAATAAGCATTGAAATAAAAATAACAACCCGATTACAAGAAAAACACAAACTTGGGTTAGTTCAGTTTCTACCATGTATGACCTGTGGTCACTTTTTTTAATATCAATTTTTTAATTATAAACAAGGGATACACTATCAGCCAACCTCCCTCACAGATTCAAATGTTGGATCAACAGCCAGAAATTTACATGAAAGGTCCTCAAAAATTATAAAAGCTAAACACATGAAAAGTATTCTTATTAAAATTAACATACAGGTAGAAAAGGTAAGGGGTAAATTTAGAAATGTTTATTTTCATAAATAACAGTGTATCAGGTAAATAGTGGACTTACGTTTGAAAGCAGGATACATTGGAACCATATTGGTTACAAGGAATGCATCATATTTAGCCTCTGGTGAAGAGCTCAGATCTAAACATTAGGAAAACAAATAGTATATAATAGTATATATTGCTTACCAAAATCTACATCAGTTAAAAAAAAAAAAGAATTTTCTTTTCTCTTTTTTTTTCTTTTTTTTTTTTTTTGAGACAGAGTTTCATTCTTGTTACCCAGGCTGGAGTGCAATGGCGCAATCTCAGCTCACCGCAACCTCTGCCTCCTGGGTTCAGACAATCCTCCTGCCTCAGCCTCCTGAGTACCTGGGATTACAGGCATGCACCACCGTGCCCAGCTAATTTTTTTGTATTTTTAGTAGAGACGGGGTTTCATCATGTTGACCAGAATGGTCTCGATCTCTTGACCTTGTGATCCACCACCTTGGCCTCCCAAAGTGCTAGGATTACAGGCGTGAGCCACCATGCCTGGCCAGGAATTTTCTTAAATGGTCCAAACTACATGAAGTAAATGAATCTATTCCTACTCCTAACTGCTTTATACATATCCTTACTCCCCTCCCACTCAATCCCTTCTTCACTCAATAGCTGTCTCCCAAAAGCCATTTATAATGTTTTTTCTTATGATCCACTTCTTGAGCCTACCAACATTATTTTTAAAAATTTTTTGATTTCATTAGTGCCATTTAGACTTTAAAAAAAAGTCATCAAGGTAATAAGAGATGGTTTAAGGGCTTCAGATTTTTTCTTTTTCTTTTTTTAAGATGGAATCTTGCTCTGTCACCCAGGCCGAAGTGCAGTGGCCTGATCACAGCTCACTGTAGCCTCAAACCCCCAGATTCAACGGATCCTACCACCTCAGCCTCCAGACTATCAGGGACTGTGGCATGTGCCACCATGATCAGCTAATTTTTAAATTTTTCTATAAAGACAAGGTCTTGCTATGTTGTCCAGCTCATTTTGAACTCCTGGACTCAGGTAACCCTCCCATCTTGGCCTCCCAAAGTGCTGGGATTACTTTGGGATTACAGTGGTGGCTCACACCTGACCTCAGGTAACCTTAAGAGATCCCCTCTATAGTTTATATAAAGGAGTAGTGTCTTAATGATTCACTGTTTCCTTTTCAGACTGTCATTTAATTATGTAAGGGTGGACACAGAAGATTATCTTGCATATTAGAATTCCCCTGGAGAACTGGATTTTTTGAAAGCTAGTCACTTTTTGGCTGATTTTGGAAGGATCCCATAAAAGTTCATTTCTATAATCTTTTGAGTACCCTCTCTTGCAGAAAACCCAAGCCACTGAAATTCTAAATACCAAGAATGCACAGCATAACATCCCTCTAGAGGCATCAGATATTCATACTCTGTAACTTACAAGGAGGAAAGAGGAATCCATAGGACATCTGCTTGTCATTTTTGTAGGCCAAACAGTTCTGACTGAAACTTGGAGAAACACGGACATCAGGCCGGACACAACTGGTCAGATGCTCAGGAATAGCAGAGACCTCGGCCTGCATGAGAGTCAGAGGCACTCAGCAATGCCGTGGCTCTGTTATGAACAGTGGAAATCAAACCCCCTCTGGCTTCTCCGATAGCTTGTATTCTGATAGCCTGACTCCTTTTTTTTTTTTTTTCATCTTTGATAGTCTGACTTCTTTTTAAAAGCCCTTAGTTTTAAGTACAGTAAGCCATGAATTTTCAAACTTTTTTTTAATCGACAGAGCTATCCTTATCAAAGTCTTAAATAAAACAATATAGAAAGCAGAACATAAAGTAGAAGTCCTACTGTTGAAATAATAGGATATCATGGAAGATAATTTGTAAAATAACCTCCTCTAAATTGACTATTTATCTGTATGTGTGTGTGTGTGTGTGTGTGTGTATAGAATATACGAGAACATAATATGTGCACACATTACAAATTTGCAATAAATTGTATTTGGGGCAGTAGAAGTGTTCTCTTCCTTTGTATTAAAAAATTTAAAACATGCCTCAACTGCCAAATAACATTTTCTAATTCTGGATATATATATCTATCTAGTTCATCTTCATCAAAACTGAAACCTCAACATAAAACTTTTGTTAAAAAACCAGGCCAGGCGTAGGGCTCATGCCTGTAATCTCAGCACCTTGGAGGCTGAGACAGGTAGATCACCTGAAGTCAGGAGTTCAAGACCAGCCTGACCAACATGGCGAAACACCATCTCTACTAAAAATACAAAATTTGGCCAGATATAGTGGCGCAAGCCTGTAATTCCAGCTACTTGGGAGGCTGAGACAAGAGAATTGCTTCAACCCAGGAAGCAGAGGTTACAGAGAGCTGAGATCATACCACTGCACTCCATCCTGGGAGACAGGGCAAGACTCGGTATCAAAAAGAAAATAAAAAACCAGACACTGATAGCGGGGGGAAGGTTAGAGGTGGGGTGCGTATGTGGGAACTCTGCACTTTCCACTCAAACTTGCTGGGAGATAAAATTTGCTCTTAAAAAATAAGGTCTATTAAAATAAACAAACAAACCTTGGCAGTTTCGGTAACTATTGGGCAATGACTTAAGCGGAGTGAAAGAAAATGAAAGAATTAGCAATCTCCCTTTAATGTTTAACATATTCCCATGGAATTACCAGAACACTGAATAAAGACTTATTCAAAATATCTTACATATGATTTCTTTCATTAAGAAAAAATAAAATATTTTCTAAGACAAAATTCTGTGAAGCAAGAAATCACTGTGTCAACGTGAGGATTGTAATAAAATAAAGAATATAAAATCCAGTTTTCTCAGTGACCTGTTTGGAAACAGTATATGATGTCCAGAGCGGCATTAGGAATATTTCACTATAACCACTTTCAAAGTCAGTGTGATATAAAATATCATATCTCGTCCGAAACAGCACTGCAGGTCGCCCATAGAGGAGGTGTCTCTCTAAGAAAGAAAGAAAAAAACTGTTAGATGGATATTAGATTTTACATCAAACATTAAAGAAATATTGGAAGAGTCAAGTTACCTAAAATGTGCTGGCTAACTTATTAATATCGCGCTTTCTCCTTAATTTCATCACATTCGTTTTTCTAACACTTTTCTGGTTAATCTGATCACCTAAGCAGGGGTCAAGCCTTACAGTTATCAAAACCAAAATGTAAATGCTGTTTTTATGTAATGCTTTTTTTAGTTGTAAAGAATTTACAATTTGTATATAAATGAAACATACAATTTTGAAATGATTCAGCTGAATGGAAAGCCAATAGGATTGGATTTTTGTAGAATTAATTATTTTGACCCTGAAGAGGCTTATCAGGCTCACCAATGATTTAATTAAGAAGAAGGCACACTTTGATCATTATATACAAACTGCAACTCAAATATGCATTCCTTCAGCATAAAAAGTGAGTAGTAATGAGCATTTAAAGTAAGCAGCTTTGTCATAGGGAGGAAAACTCTTTAGGTAAGAACTTAAAGGAACATGTATAGATTTTAAAAAGTGGGCATTCAAGATGGTCTTCTAAATACAGAAGAGGAAAGTTCATCAGTTATCAAAGAACTCAATTAAGACCCCCCAGTGCAGATTCAGACCTCCAAAGGAAAGTTCTCTTCTTAGGAAAAAGAAAAGGTCTGAAATGTTACTCTTTGAGGAAGAAGAGATGGGAGTTCAATATGCAAATCTTTATTCCACACTCTGCAATAAATATCTGAAGCTTGATCTGCCCACTTTGGATAGGCTAAAGTCAAAACTTCCATAGATTCTTGGAAATTTGGGGCCCTACAGACCAAAATATTTAGAGGTTTAGGCAATTCACAATTCCTTGCATGGTAAATAAATAAATAAATAAACAAAAATTCGTATACTATTTTTTTCTACTAGAGAAAACCTAAGTTAATAAGTTCTGAAAAACACTTATTAAATTATGTATACATGTTGCTTTAATTAAAGTCTTACCATTCTAAACTGCTGATTTGAGACAAAGCAGCCCACACTATTACAACACAAGCCTGTTCTGGGGTAGTTTGGCTGCTCCAGCATTGCAGTAAACGTAGAAGCCTTAGTTAAGCTGCCAAATTTGGGAACCCGCCCCTAAGGATTAGAACATAATCTGACAATATTAAATAAATGAAATATAATAAATAAAATGTCAGCAAATCATAACAGTAGTACTTGGGAGCAGTTAAACAACCCAGACTTTCCTTCAAAACTCAAACCAAACCTTTTCTAGGTTCAAAATTTCCATTAATGTTTTCCTTGTTTTCATTTTTGCTGTCTCTGAATTTCCTGGTTTCAGCTGGAAGCAAAAGTATCAAAATTCTTTGAGAAGCTATTCTCTTTTTATCATTCAAGTTTTCATGTTTACCACACACAGTCCTCTAGACTCAAATTCAAGCTTGGCATCTAATTGATTCCTTTAGGGGGACAACAAAATAGCAGCCATGTTCAGATATACAATATCCCTCCCTAGAGCAACCAGCAAACAAGAGTCTCAGACAATCTGCAGTCTCTACAACTCTAGGTTTTCCTCTAAATCCTCCTCATTTCTAAGAATTCAGTGTAACAGTATATTCCAGAAAGGCTAATGTATTTGCAACACTCTGTTCATAATCGTTAGCAACAATACACTAATCATATATGTGACTTCCATTCTCTCTACCAGAAATAACGTCTCTAGTCTTGCCCATGTCTGTCACCTATCTCCTTCCAAATTTATCCATTATTCTTCATCATCAAACACTGAGCACCCTGGTTGTGCCAGACCTTGGGCTATAGAATGGAGGTACTGGGCAAAGATTAAGATAGAGCTCTTACCCTCAATGAGCTCACAAGTCAATGGGAGATACAAACATGGCACAAACAACAGATGCCGTGTCATCTGCCCATATCAAAAATAGCTACAGAGTATGATGGGAATGCAGAGGATGGCAAATGCTGGAAATAGGGTGGAGGTGGCATCAGTGAAGTCCTTTACGAAACATATGAAGTTAAACCAGGCTGGCCCCATGTCCCATTTTATGCCTGTTGCCCTGGTATAATTGTTAATAGTGTCCCTTCTTACTCTCAAAAGTGCATGATGAATATTTAGCCCTCATGGAAGAGACATGAAGAGGAAAGGGTGAGGTGAGGGGTCCAAGAGGGGCAGAGATATCTTAAGATTCATTTTCTCCTCTGAGCACAGTGGGTCATGCCTGTAATCATACCATTTTGGGAGGCCAAGGCGGGCAGATCGCCTCAGGTCAGGAGTTCAAGACCAGCCGGCCAACATGGTGAAACCCTGTCTCTACTAAAAATACAAAAATTAGCCAGGCATGGTAGTGCACGCCTGTAATCCCAGCTACTTGGGTGTCTGGGACAGGAGAATCACTTGAACCTGGGAGGCAGAGGTTGCAGTTAGCCAAGATCTTGCTACTGCAATCCAGCCTGAGTGACAGAGCAAGACTCCATCTCAAAAAAAAAAAAAAAAAGATTCATTTTCTCCCTAAAAGTTTCTTCAATAAAGCTTTTCCATCTCTACTCACTCTACTCATCTATATATATAGACTCAACTTGCTTCAGAAATTTGTGTTCCACAGCTTCCAAGTTATTGTCATAACTGCAGGTTTTGGTACACAGCTGTAACAAAAATATCACTATCTGACTGCCCTTTTCTCAATTGTTACTGAGCAAAACTAGCATAATAAGGGGGGGAAATACAGTGGTTTTTACGGCCTCCTAAAAATCAAACCAAGGTCCCCAATGACCCAAAAAATCTACTTGGGTCTTCCTGGAGCTTAATAGTTTCATCTAAGAAAGAGAGAAAATAATCTCTTCAGTAAGAAACATACATTTTAAGGTCCCGAATCAAAATTTAGATTTTATTTTTTCAGTTTATCAAAGTATCAAAGAATCACAGGTTCAGAGTCATAGTTTGACTCTGCTAGTCTTTAAGCCACAAAATGTAGTTGAATTGTGTTCTCCGTACACACTGAGATCTTTATCTCGAGACCAGCAACCCTGGAGACTAGCCTGCAATCCTCTGCTTTTGCAATGTTTCCAGGATTTCGCAAAGTGGATCTAGCATAACCTGGTGTTCCCAGCCTGGGAATTCCTGTCACGGAATTCCAGACAGAGTCTTCATTCCACACCCCAGTTCTCTGTTTACAATAGTGTCTCCAGCAGTTTTGGTACACGCCAAGGTTCTCCTCCAGATACCACATTTGGCGAAATACTGTGAGGCCAATCTTTTCAAGTGGTGTGGACTTAGCTAGCACTCATTCTTTTTGTCTCCCAAATTCGGGTCGCAGAGACTGGCATTTGTGTTCCTTTTCCTCCTCAGCTTCCTGATTCATATTCCCACAGATGAGCAGGCTGACTTGAGAGCCACATGAAAATCTCTCTTTTTTTTTTTTTTTTTAAAAAACATTCACTCCCACAATAATATGCTCTTAAATCTTACCACAAAATCTCTCCCCAAGATCTTTCCTTTTCCTGCAGACTTTCTCCTCTTTGCCTTACAAGTGCTTATTATCATTTGCTGCCATTTCAACCTCCTCTGAGATTTGATTCAAGGCCTCTCTTTAGTGCCCTGTCCTTTCTTACCCCAACCCTGAAAACATTACGTTGTAATTTATCAACTGGATAAATCCTACAACAGAACAGTAACTTTTCAAGGACAGGAACTTCATCTATTTTATTCACCACTGTATCCTCCATCTCCAACAATGCCAATCATATTTTATTTACTTGGCAAACACTTGTTGATAAGTTAATTTTATATATATATATATGTATGTGTATATATATATATATTTAATCTTGGCTTTCGACGTATGACCTATCTAATGTTACCCTGAAAGTTACACTGGGCAGATCAGTAGTATCATCTCCAACTTACTGATGAAGGAACTGGAGGTTTATGATTTGTACATAATAATTTAGCTGCCTAGCAGCACTAGAATCCTAGGCCTCCATCCCCCTGGGCCATTATTCTTCTCCTTGGCCTTTTGGGTGGTGTCCAGTTGGGTGTTGGCTGCTGGGTTATCTTATGGAGGGCAAATGGGAATGAAGATCCAACCACTCCCAGGTGTGAGCCCTGCCTGAGTAATGCCTACTGAGAAGCTAATGAGGACAGTAGTTTATATCAAAGCATCTAGTATTTCAGAAACAACTTCCAAACATTGATATACCAATTTTTTTTTTGTCATTGAGCAAAAAGTCTCTCTACTCAGGTCATAAAATGTACATGAAAAACAAAATTTCCTTTTGACATATTCCTTTTGTTCCCACTCAGAATAAGCAGCATTTTCAGATGGAAGCACATGGGCTTCAGTGTCATATAAAACTGAGTTCAAATCTAATCTCAGCTCTTTATAGCTCTGGTACTCTGTAACTCCGAAAGCTCAGTATCTCCCTGGAATGTTGCACTGTTTTCAGGCAAAATATGTAAAGTGCCTTGTCTAGTCTTGACCCAAAGTAGCTGTAGTTGTAGCAGTTGCAGCTGTATTGTTTAGTATAGGGTATGTGCCCCAACCCAATCCTGGCAAAGAATATTACTAGGTAAAAGTTGGTAAACTTCAATCTACCATCAAATCCATCTTGAATTCTACTATAAACAATTACTATGTATTGATTTCTTCCAAGTATTCCCCAAAACACAAAGATACACACACAGATACAAACATTTAGAAACAGGAGTGAGTATATCTCCTTCTTTCTCTAGAACAACTGATATCTCCAAAGAAATTACACAAATGAGAAACATTCCAGAATTGACAAGACCTAAAGATGATGCTCTCTCTGTAGCCATATTCAAGACTCTGCTTTAAAGTTAACAAGAATTACTAGTGTTTAAGTACTTTTTCTTTCCTTCCTTTTTTTTTTTGAGACAGAGTTTTGCTCTTGTTGCCCAAGCTGGAGTGCAATGGTGCAATCTTGGCTCACTGCAACCTCTACCTCCCGGGTTCAAGTGATTTTCCTGCCTCAGTCTCCTTAGTAGCTGGAATTACAGGTGGATGCCATGAAGCCCAGCTCATTTTTGTATTTTTAGTAGAGATGGTGTTTCACCATGTTGGTCAGGCTGGTTTTGAACTCCTGACCTCAGGTGATCAACCCGCCTCGGCCTCCCAAAGTGCTGGAATTACCGGCATGAGCCACCATGCCAGGCCATGTTTAAATCATTTTTCTATCCAAACTAACTTCTCATTGTGTATGATAAGGAGCCAACCACACATCGGTGTTAAAATGATTTCTAACTCCTCTTTCACAAAGATGATGGTGAGTGCTAACCTAAGAAAATGTGCAACGTTTTTATAGCAATACCAACAGAGAAAAGACTAAGGTGAAAATAAATCGTACAATTATTCTTACAGTGAAAATGATACTTGACTATACTGCCAAAATTGCTTACTACGAGATATTTTTTAAATTTTTCTTTTCATTCATTCATTCATCCATTGACTCAACACCACAAGGAAATGAGTTATCATTGCATGGAAAGTCTGCCAAGACATTAGGTATTTGAGATCCAGAAACAACACCAGGCATGCAGTTAAGATCTGGAGTCTACCACATATCTAGAAATTTTAAAGCTTAGTAAACAGTTAAGATGGTCATTCATGAGATTACATTTTTCTTACTCTTTATTTTAGTAAAGGATTTTATTCCATAACAGTTTAAATATATACAGCAAAATATTGCCCAAGATTAACTTAATATACCTCTTGTTTATCACAGCTATCCCTGTGGTGGTTTCACTACTGGTACATTCAGTTTTTACTCATGTATTCTGTACGAATGTATGAGTGATTTTACAGCATATCACACTGAAACAGCCACATATGAATGTTACAAGTGACGTGTGTATAGCACATAACGTATTCTGAAAAATATCAACTACTTATATCTGTGTTTTAAAAAACTAATAATAAAAAGAGTATAACTTTACATCTGTATAGAAGTTTAGGTCTACAAACTACTTTAAAAGCCTTGATACGCATTCAAAGGTACCTAGAAAGGGGAAGTAATTCCCCTGAGCATAACACAGGTGTGCTCACACACATGGTGGTTTACATTCACAAGGTTCTCCTCTAGTAGGGCAGACATTGAATATTTCAAATGGGAGGCCAAATTTATGGCACAGGAATCTTTATAAGGCCTGAAAGAATGCAGACCAAGGAAACATTACTTTGCCGCTGAAGAAATGACTGACATAGAGCCCAAAAGGAGACAAAGCCCAAGAGACAAAGACAGAGAGAGAGTGACAGAAGAGCATTGAGGGTTACACATATGCTAGCATCTAAGCAAGGAAATGCATTGCACGTAATAAGACAATTACTTTTGAAGACTTTCTTGTATCATTAAAGGCTGGTGCCACTAGGCCATGAGCAGTCTTAGAATACCTCAGGCTATTCTACATTCCCCTCTAACATTTTATGCCACTACTTTAAAGCCATGAATTAGAAACTATCGGTGGTACAATTGTCTCAGAGTAATCAGTGTCAGCCCAGTGTCAGTACTCAACAAATTCTTGCCAAATGAATCCATGAGGATTCGTTTCCACAAAAATACATAAACTTTAAGCTTCAGTGGTATAAAAAGACACTTCAGTGACATAAATAAGACACTCATGTTCTACTCTGAGCGGAGCAATGAAGATTTGATCTTACTAACTATAGCTCCTTATCGCCCTGATGCCTCTTATTTGTATGCTCTGAAGTTTGAGGTTATTTATTTTTTATTTAGAGACAGAGTCTTGCTCTGTCACCCAGGCTGGAGTGCAGTGGTGCAATCTCAGCTCACTGCAACCTCTGCCTCCCAGGTTCAAGTGATTCTCCTGCCCCAGCCTCTCAAGTAGCTGGGATTACAGGCATGCACCACTACTGCCCAGCTAATTTTCGTATTTTTTTAGGACAGACAGCGTTTCACCATGTTGGCCAGGCTGGTCTTGAACTCCTGCCCTTAGGTGATATGCCCACCACAGCCTCCCAAAGTGCTAGGATTACAGGTGTGACCCATGGCACCCTGTTATTGTTTATACTGAATTGGTACGTTCAGCTTTTATTCATGTATTCTGTATGGATGTATGAGTGATTTTACAGCATATCACACTGAAACAGCCACATATGAATGTTACAAGTGACGTGTGTATAGCACATAACGTATTCTGAAAAATATCAACTACTTATATCTGTGTTTTAAAAAACTAATAATAAAAAGAGTACAACTTTACATCTGTATAGAAGTTTAGGTCTACAAACTACTTTAAAAGCCTTGATTTGGTTATTGTTTATACTGAATTTTGTCCCCATATGACAAAACAAATTAAATGCAGAAATGTTTTTCTCAGACAGAAATGCTTTAGTACCATGAACAGTCAGACTTTGAATCAGCGAAAACATGGGAGTCTAATAGAAGGTACCATAATTCATTTCATTAGTGACTTTTAGAAGAGAAGCATCTGGGTAGTATTTCTCTGCCTTGGCGACTAAATATATGAAAAAATTGGAATCATGAGACTCCCCATCTTTTGACTCTGGCAATGTTCTAATTGTTCTCATTATAATGACACTGTCGTCCACTAGATGTTAGGTGTCGAACATTGCAATTCACTTGCAGAGGTTGTGAAGGATTTGTGTGCCTTCCACCAACAATGGCCTATCTTCAAAGTCAGGTTCATTCAGTTCTATGCCAGAGTCTGTGTGGTCTGTGATCAATGGGAGAAGTGGGATGGTGGAGACACAGAAAAGGAAGAAGGAGGCAGATGAAGATCTTTAAAAGAGGAAAAATAAGTCAAGTAAATCAAATCTTCTACTGGTTTCCTCAGCTCTACTTAATCAGATTGGAAAGAGCACATATGACAAACAGAACCATATGTAAGCTAATAACTCAAGTGATGCTCTCAGGAGAATTTGACCACGTTCATCTTTGTTGCATGACTGTGGCTGCTATGCTTGAATTCTATCTGTGTTTTAAATACACTTTTAGTCATTTCCTGGCTGTTTCAACATGCTATCCCATCTACTTGAGTAACATGTATAGGAGGCTTTCCTTCCCCTTCTGTTTTCCTTCAATTTTGCAAAACTTCAAAATCGGAAAAAAAGAGCTTACATGGTAGATCGTGTTATTGTTCCTAATTATTTAGTGCCTCCACCCATTGCCATATGACTTGCAGGATAGAGTCCCTGTGGAAAAAATAGACTTCCCTATGCCATGGGTATCATATGCTTAGCTTTGGCTAGCAAACTATGAATGGAATGACAAATGCTTTATAAAAGCAGAAGCAGCCTGGGCATGGTGGCTCACACCTGTAATCCCAGCACTTAGGGAGGCCAAGGTGGGCAGATCACAAGGTCAAGAGATTGAGACCATCCTGGCTAACACGGTGAAACCCCATCTCTACTAAAAATACAAAAAAATTAGCTGGGCATGGTGGCACGCACCTGTCGTCCCAGCTACTCAGGAGGCTGAGGCAGGAGAATCACTTGAACCCAGAAGGTGGAGGTTACAGGGAGCTGAGATCGTGCCACTGCACTCCAGCCTGGGCGACAGAGTGAGATTCTGTCTCAAAAAAAGCAGAAGCATTGAGGCCCAGTGCACAGTTCTGCCACTCTTTTCCCTCTGCCAAGAGCAGGGTATGTCTCTGATGGAGGCTACTCCTTCAGCCTGGATTCCAGAATAAAGAATACACATGGGGCAAAGTTGCCCTTGGCCTATAGCCAGCATACTGAAATGGAAGCAAGAAAGGCATCTTAGTACAAATCACTGAGATTTTTTTTCCTTTGGTCATATCAAAAGCTTGCAAAAGTTCACTAATACATGCTTGTTATCATTGCACATAAAATAAGAGTTAGGGCTCGAGATGATCCTTCATGTGAGGGGGGAGTTCTGATTTGATTCCTTCTGTGAATCTCTCCCTATCACAATATATACACTGACTCTTGAAGTAGATAGCTTCAATATAGGCACCAGCTGCTATTATTCATCATTGTGACTACCATTCCCTTTAGAGGAGTGCCCCATGGTGCCTTAACTTATGACCCATCAGATGCAAAATGGATTGCATATTTTTCAGAGAGCTTAAAAGCTATTGCGGGGGTGAGGGAAGCTATTAGAATTTTTCTATTACACAGCTGGCATCTCGAGTGCATGTAATAAACCAATACTCTTTGCCAGATAGGTATGAAAGTCACCAATTTTATGCAATACCAATTTTTTTTTGCAATACTAATTTTAACTTTTAAAAATATCATGTTTACACTATAATGTACATAAGATGACTTCAATTTTTGAAAACTGGAAAAACCTTATCTCATTATTTTCCATCAACCCCTTACCTTCTGTAGACCCTTTTGTATGAAGCCGTTTGTTGAGTTCATCCAACTTGTTCTTCATGTGTGAAAACCAGTAAAGGGAAAAAGAAAGTAAATCAGAAGTACTGTTTCCTTCCTACGCCCTTCTGTCTACTTAGAGCCCTGTTAAATTCAAAGGAGAATGCTAAACTCCATTCATATCATAGACTCATTTGAGGAATTGCCATTTTCTCTGAAATTGACCTTGTAGGCTCCACTTGTAGCAGTTCCACGTTCATAAACACCTTCTGCAATATCTGTTTCCTTTCCTTAAAACTGTGGATAATCACGGTACCAATTTCCCATGTTAGTACTGATGACTATTTGGGCATATATATGTAAGTTAATTAGGACAGTGCCTAAATGTTTCAGATTAATCTCTAGGCACACAAAGGGATTCCCAAATTATGAAATCACTTTTCACCAAAGCTAAAAAGTAATGACTCTGAATCAATTCTGAAACATCATGGGTCAGCAAGTCTACCCTTCACTATATATCCTAGCATATGTGGACCAGAAGACATTTCCAGTAATGTCTGTGGCAACATTGTTGTAAGAGGTAACATTTGCAAATTACTAAGTGTTCTCAAGTAGGAAAATGAAAAAAGTCCTTCTGGTATATTTATACAATTAAATATTAATCACTGTATTAGCTGTAAAAATAAGTGAGCTAAAACTTCAATTTTTTGAGACTTAGACCTAAGTCTCAAAAAATCATAATGATAAAATAATTGTGGTACACACACACACACACGCACACACACACACATATATATATATATATATTATAAGAGCATTTATGAAAAATTTTATAGCAAGCAAAACTATAGTACGGGTTATTTTAGGAAACTATGCAAAAGATTACTTCATACATTATTTAATAAATATATAAGGCCAGGCACAGTGGCTCATGCCTGTAATCCCAGCACTTTGGGAGGCCAAGGCAGAAGAACACCTGAGGGCAGGAGTTCAAGACCAGCCTGGCCAACATGGTGAAACCCCATCTCTATTAAAACTACAAAAATTAGCCAGGTGTGGTGGCACGCCCCTGTAATCCCAGCTACTTGGGAGGCTGAGGCAGGAGAATCGCTTGAACTCAGGAGGCAGAGGTTGCAGTGAGCCGAGATTGCACCACTGCATTCCAGTCTGGGCAACAGAGCAAGACTCCATCTCAAAAAAGAATAAGATAAACCATCCAAACAGAGTGTATGGGATCAGTCTCTGCACCACCATCGCATCCCTGTTGCACCCTCCCAAACTCTGCTCTGTGTCCTGGGAGAATGACCTCTAGGGATGGCATTAAACAGCAAACCTGCACTGTGGCTCCCTGTTGGGCTCTACCAATGGAAAACATTTGAAAGGAAGTACAGGGGAGGGAGATGAGGGCAGCTCCCTGCTGGGCTGCAATGCACAAGCTGCACTCATTGGCCAAATACGTTAGTTCCTTCCTCTTCAGCTCTCTCTCTACATGTTCTGGAAACTTACTCCCTCCCTTCACCCTTCAAGCCTTGGAGGGTACCATGCAAACCCCAGGGCCATTCACCACTCCTCATTGACTTCCATCCACCCTGCCAGCCTTTGTAAATTACTCGTTAAATATGACTGAAACAATTCCTTTAAAGTCTTTCTTTTTTTTTTTTTAAAGACGAAGTCTTGCTCTGTCACCCAAGCCGGAGAACAGTGACATGATCCCAGCTTACTGCAACCTCCGCCTCTCGGGTTCAAGCTATTCTCCTGCCTCAGCCCCGAGTAGCTGGGATTAGAGGTGTGCGCCACCATGTCCCAGCTAATTTTTTTGTACTTTTAGTAAAGACAAGGTTTTGCCATGTTGGCCAAGCTGGTCTGGAACTCCTGACCTCAAGTGATCCACCTGCCTCGGCCTCCCAAAGTGCTGGGATTATAGGCATGAGCCACCACGCCTGGTCTAAACTCTCTTTCAAAGCTTCTTCTATATGGGCCACCTGTTTCCTGTTGGGACCATGACTAATAGACATGTGACCCACAGTTGAAAAAACAGAAAAAGATTTTGATTGAGAACTGAGACTCCACAGAATAGCAACATCAATTCTGCTTTTTGTCTTTCATGATCTTTACCTATTCAATATGGTAGTCACAAGCCACATAGGGCTCTTTAATTATAAAGTAATGAAATAAAAATTTTAGTTCCCCAGTCACACATTTTGCTCTCATTTTGAACAATGTTACTATAGACCACGTCCATTGTCATGGAAAGTTCCACTGGCCAGCACTGTTGGCCACCCAACAATCTCCTCCACGATAAACATAAAGATTATTTCTACCTTTGGCTCTATGTTATCATCACAAGTGCAGCCGAGGTCAAAATCAGACTGAAGGTACATAATCCCTGGATAACTGGGTCTGGTAACTTCCTCTGGCATCGTTGGCCTGAAGGTATTAGTACGCAGAAGATGATTCAGACTTCCATGGGTCCCATTGTTAGGAGCCGGCTTCAATCCCAGGAGATCTAATGAAAAGTAAGAAAAGGAGGCAGGTGCTTCTTACATTATTTTTGATGAGATATGGTAAGATTTAAAACCCTTCACCTTCTATGTATCTGAAAACTCTGAACACAAATCAGAATTGGACAAAACCAAATTTAGATGGCAGGCACTTCCTCATTACCTCCTGAGCCATTCTGGACTGACTATATCTTTCCATTGCTTTCTGAAATAGCCATGTTCATTGTTTAACCATTTAATAGAATCCCAGAAAGAAAGAGTGAAGGAACTAGGCTTTGACTAACTATTGCCTGTATCTCTGGTAGTTACAACCCAAAGACTATCAGTGTCAGTATCACTGTTTTTCTGCACATCTCTGGGACTGTTTAACGCCATGTTATTAAGTAACTATAAGTCTGCCCTCTAATGACTCCACAGAAGTGTAGGGACATGAGGAGGCTTTGGCCCCGTCCCCTGAAGTGGCACTGAGCAATGAACAGGCTGATTTCATAGCAAGTGAATGGTTGCCAAGTGTTTATTCAGTAATTTGCTTGAGCTCAGAAGCAGGACAGGAGAGAGTTAGCAGCCAAGATGGGAAAAGAACCCAGGAGACCCGACTTGCAGACTCCCCCTCTAACCACCAGACTGGCACTCCCTTACTAAATAGGAAAAGTTGTCCTCATTCAGCAACTAGAAGCTCAAGGAAGAAAAATAATTAAGAGCACATAAATAGTTGGCCAGGATGCAAGCTGGCAACATTTTAACTGGGCTACAGTGCGAGAGATGGAGGTGGGAGAGGGCTCTGTGCAGAACTCTTGCTTCATCGGGTCTCTGACCAGTGGTGTCAAACTGTAATGCTATGTTAGACCAGCCAGAGGCTGCCAACAGCAACACCGTGAAAACGCCCTATTAGTCAACTGTTGAAGGAAGACAAAGAAGCCTTAGAAGGGAATAATATTCTGTCTTTGAACCAATGGGCAAATTACAAGTTTTTCTGGAGAAGAGAAGGTGATTCCAGAAAAGAGACACCTCATTTCTTTCTCTGACACTGAGAAAGGTCATATAGTAACTAAAGATTGTTTCAATAGTTTTGATTAAATGAGTGACTTACCACACATGACATTGTAAAGTTCAATGTTTTCAAATGGAGGTACTTTAGTCTTGTACTTAAATGATGGGCCATAACCTACAAAAACAGTCTTCCGAGAGAAAAGAAAAACAAAAACAGTTAAGCATTGTTAGGTAGGACCTCTATTTATGTCACACCACCGTTACCTATCCTTTCAAAGAATCATAAAACACAATTTCAATTCACAGTTTGCCATCATACCTGCATGCTGTTGACCTTGTTATCAAATCCATGGTCTCCCTGGAAAAAACATTTTCCTGATGGTTTCTTATAAACATCCAAAGGTTTCCTAAATTAAAACAATGTTATCATCAGTTAGGATTTCTCATGAAATTACTCTGATAAAAAGATAACTTCAGGGTACAAAGAATCTCTAAGAGGCTTTTGAAAGTCTATTTGTCTCTATTTTAATGGTATCATCCTTGTGATGATGAAAAGAGGACGTCATTCATTTCTCCAAGTGACTTTTCTATGACAGTCATTGGAGGATAAATGGGGACCTGTGAACAGAAGTCACGAAGCCCTCCTTGAACCTTGTGCTTACACCAAGCAGGGCACTTGTCAAAAGTCATAGTCTGCCTACCTCGGTGCTTCACTAGCTTTGAGACTGTAAGATTCTCAACTCTAGGGCCATGTTCGTCTGGTTCGCTTCTGTGTACTCCTTCCTAGGCTCAGCGTCAAGACATGGTAGACACTTTAAAAATATGTGATGTCTCACCTATTATATACCCATAATAATTTAAAATTTAAAATAAAATAAATATGTTTAAGCAATGAATAGAGATCTGTATTCTAAAAAAATGTCTGCATGCAAATCTGTCAATATGTAATACAACTAGAGTATAACTAAGCAGCCAACTTAACAGTAATCATGACATATCTAACAAAGCATGGCCTCACCTAGATCATATCTCTATTTGGAAATATAAAAAAAAAACAGAAATACTGCTCTCTAGACATCAAGACCATCTGACATTTCCTTTTGTGACAGAAGACACCTTTTGCAAAAGTATCATGTGACCCTTTTCCAAAATAACTTTCATGTTTATTTAATACAAATATTTCCTAAGTACCTATGGGTACATAGCACTGAAAGTGCTTTGGGAAACAAAAAAATCTAACATACAGGTCTCCACCTTTGGAATAATAAGGGCTTGGGATAATAAGACATATTATCCCAACATATAATACCTCAACAACGCAAGAAGAGTTATCATTTAAAAGATGCATTGTTCTCAAACCTGCAACCTCGGGTGATCCACCCGCCTTGGTCTTCAAAGCGCTTGGATGACAGGCTCATGTGAACCACCATGCCCAGCCTAAAAGATGCATTGTTAACCAACATGCCTGGTTTTTGGCTACACTAATTTGCCCAACTGACATCATATTTCCCTTAACTTCTACTCAGCTCCCGTGTTTTTGCTATATGAACCTACTACCTGAACCAGTGTGACCCCTTCCCAGCTGCCCCATACATAGAAGGTCCTTTGGGGAACATACTCAGCCAATTAATTTTAGTCACATCCCTGTAAATTCTCCATAAGGATTCCCCACAACTTTTTTTTTATTATTATACTTTAAGTTCTGGGGTACATGTGCAGGATTTTTACATAGGTATGCACATGCCATGGTGGTTTGCTGCATCCATCACCCCATCATCTGCATTAGGTATTTTTCCTAATGCTATCCCTCCCCTATCCCCCTACCCCCTGCTATCCCTCCCCTAGCCTCCACAACCCACTGACAGGCCCCAGTGTGTGATATTCCCCTCCCTGTGTCCATATGTTCTCGTTGTTCAACACCCACTTATGAGTGAGAACATGCAGTGTTTGGTTTTCTGTTCTGTGTCAGTTTGCTGAGAATGATGGTTTCCAGTTTTATCCATGTCCCTGCAAAGAATATGAACTCATCCTTTTTGTGGCTGCATAGTATTCCATGGTGTATATGTGTCATATTTTCTTTATCTAGTCTATCATTGATGGACATTTAGGTTGGTTTAAGTCTTTGCTATTGTGAACAGTGCTTCAATAAACATGTGTACATGTGTCTTTATAATTAGAATTTATAACCCTTTGGGTATACCCAGTAATGGGATTATTGGGTCAAATGGTATTTCTATTTTTAGATACTTGAGGAATCACCACACTGTCTTCCACAATGGTCAAGGTAACTTACACTTCACCAACAGTGTAAAAGCTTTCCCATTTCTCCACATCCTCTCCAGCATCTGTTGTCTCCTAATTTTTCACTGATCACCATTCTAACTGGTGTGAGATGGCATCTCAATGTGGTTTTGATTTGCATTTCTTTAATGACCAGTGATGTTGAGCTTTTTTCCCTATGTTTGTCGACTGCATGAATGTCTTCTTTTGAGAAGTATCTGTTCATATCCTTTACCCAGTTTTTAATGGGGTTGTTTTTTTTTCTTATAAATTTGTAAGGATTTCAATAATTCCTGTTCTCCAAACATCTTTCTTCATGATCCCACATATTTAACTCTAAGCACACCCCAGAAAATTACAGTATGATATTTATATATTTGTCATATGTATATCTCTAAATGTTCCATACTGATACAAGTTTCTAGATGACCAACATTTTCTCATTATCTTCTCGCTCACAAATTCATACCTAGCTAGAGTTCAATTATTGAGATAGATAAATTCACAGCACTTTTCTTAAGTAGAAAGTTGGGGCAATAGTGATTGTGAAACAGCTACTTCCAGGTCTATGTGAAAATGGATAAATCCTTAATAATTAACTCTTTGGAAGTGGTTAGAGCCTCTAGACATGTCCTAGACCACATTCAAAAGCAAGGAACCTTCTCTTTGACATTGGAGTCTTTTGTAGTTTAATAGAAGGTAAACATAGGTAGTATTTAAAGCAATGTAAAAAATTCCCACAATAACAGAGTTTTTAACATTAACAACATTTTCTAAAGTCTACTAAAGCCAGGTGTGGTGGCTCATGCCTATAATCCCAACACTTTGGGGATTTGGGCTGAGGCAGGCAGATCACCTGAGGTCAGGAGTTCAAGACCAGCATGACCAACATGTAGAAACCCCATCTCTACTAAAAATATAAAAAATTAGCTGGGTGTGGTGGTGCATGCTTGTAATCCCAACTACTCAAGAGGCTGAGGCAAGAGAATTGCTTGAACCTGGGAGGCGAAGGTTGCAATAAGCCAAGATTGTGCCATTCCACTCCAGCCTGGGCAACAAGAGCAAAACTTCATCTCAAAAAAATAATAATAAAATAAATAAATAAAGTCTGCTATGAATATTGCTGCAAGCGAAGTCTCATCAACTGAGATCAAATCAGCCCAATGTGCTAGGGCAAGGTCTCATTTATGCTTTTGACTTAAGTAGTAAGAATAGAGGTTAGAATGTAAATTCAAAAAAATGAAACACACACACACACACACACACACACACACACACACAGATGCACTGACAGACCACAAAGAGACACCACGATGCCGAGACCCAGAACATAGAGATATATTGTCTCAGCACTAATTGTTTATGCAGCCCACAAAATCTTTGGAAACAGGGAGATTTCCAACTGATATTTCTTTTAGCGATGACTAAGTCTGATAAAATATTTCCAGTTGCCAAAGAGGTGGTCATGGAAATGAGAAACAGAAACAGCCCATAAGCCACTTACCTTGCCACATGCCATCTGCGATCCACCAATAAATGGATATCCTCAATCCTTCTGTTGTTGGCATAGTGTAAACGTTTGGGAAGGTGCTGTTTCAAGTAAGGTTTAAAGTGCTGATCTGGTTTTTTACACTGAAATAGAAATGGAAAAAGACTTTAGATGGAATGTCTTTTTAAAAATTTCTTACAAATTCTCTCTCTAGAAAGTTGAAGGAGATTTTAAGCCTAACAAAAGGTTAGTGAATAAATGAAATTTATTTCCATCAAATAATGCACACTGAAAACAAATAAATGCAAAGATTAAATAACTTTAGAGATGGGTGAGACCATCGCTAAAAGCAATTCACACTCCAAGGCCTTTCCCGACTCCTTCAAGTTAAGCGGTTTGGGGTGGGGTGTCGGTGGGCAAGGAGGAGTGCCTGGGTTCAGGCTTATCTGATTAGATGCTCTTATGTTATTGAGGTCTCTAACTAGCATCCGGAACAATGCAGCAGAGTGGGTGGGCAGCTCTGGTTCAGAGAAAGTAAAGATTTGTTTAATCATGAATGAATACTTTTCAGTTCTAATGGAAGGATCAAATATTCTCCCTTTGTATCATTGCCAAGACCGTTAGGGAGCCTGCAGCTGACCACAGGCCAGAAGTTTTGAAAGCTCTTAAGGAAACAAATATACAGGATGGCAGGGCAGTGAGGAAAATGTTCCTCCCACCCCCGGGGGGAGGCACACACAGGAGGGAGGCTGCTCCAGGGGCAGAGGACTATGGAGGGCAGAGAAGGGACAACTTGCAACACTTACTGTGAGATTGGCAATAATGGCTTTGGGGTCATCTGTTCAAAGAGAGGAGAAAGATTTCAAAAGAAATCACAATCATTACCAAGAGAAATTATTTTTGAAGCAAGATACTCAATTCTTTCTTCATCCATCCCACAGAAGACTATCACTGTAGTGTTTTGTTTGAAAGATATATAAATGTGTGTGGGTATTTAACATTTCAGTCATTGATATGCAGCTAAACAAGTGGAACAAATCCCACAGTAAACTTCCCTCCTAGGTCCAGCTCTGCTCTTCTGGAGGGAATTCCTCCTTCCATAGCACCAGAATACTGCCAGGTAAATTGCTTCTTGTTTTAAGCTCTCCCTAAGGGTTCCTCTTGGGACAGTTTATTTGCAGTTCGACCTCAGGAACTAAACTGGGCATTTGGGGCTTTTAATGTAACTTCTTATTTATCTGCAGATCTTTGAAAGAAGTCTTCACCCACTTTAAGATGAAACTTCTAATCCATTGGGTTATTTTTGTTAAAGGGAGTTTTGTTTCCCTAGTTATATTCTAGGTGTAATTATATAGGTAGCTGCACCTCTCCAGCCATAGACACACACGTGCAGGCATCTCCTTTATTTTCAATAGCAGCAAGTAAAAGATTTTATTCAATACTCTGAACTAACTAAAAGCAAAACTATGTAAATGATGGCTGTGTATAAACTGTGGACAGGATTGTATTATCTGATGCTCCCCTTTTGGGCAGAATGTGGGGAGAAAGAGATCATAGGTTACTTGGATTTTGCTTTGTTTTCAGGAAGTTTGCTTCAGTATGTTATTACGGAATCAGCAGAAAAGGAAAGCTGTGTTCAGAAGACAGAGCAGCTATCACGAGGCAGCCCTCCCTGGCATATAAATGCCAGTAGAGCAGGCCTTATCTGTATCACATGCTGCTGCATCCCTGGGCCTGTGCAGAGTAGACACTCAATACAGATTTTTTAATGAATGTTTGTTTATGTTTGCTAAAAATACATGAATAAACTTGCCTGGGGATATAACTATACAGACTCCAAAGACTATTTTCAGAATCTTAGTTCTAAAACTAGCAATCTAAAGCTAAAATGTGGATTCTATTGACCTTAATTGCATCCCTTACTAAAAAGCAAATAAGTAATAATGTAATAATAATAACCTAAATAGATTCCATACTGTGTGCCTGTCTCTCTATAAGAGCTTTGCAGGCATCTTCTCTCTGGTCAATCACAGTAACCCTGGGAAGTAAATGCTATTCAAATCCTCACTAAGCCAATAGGTTTTCAGAAGGAGAAGGAGCTGGCATTCCGGCACCCAAGAAATCTGATTGAGCAAGCCAGGCCTCATACATCATATTCCTCAAAGGGATGAAACAAAGTTCATGGTCTTTGAAAATAAAGGGAAGTCAATAGCATGCACTCAGGTAAGTCCCAGAGAATTACTAGGACATATCCAATGCCTGAGTTCATGTTGGGAACATCAATCCTTCAATTCGGAAGTACTCAGTCTTTTCAGGCTAACAGTCCTCATTTTGTGTGAAGCAAGGGCAGTGGTTCAGCTAATCTGGGTTTAAATCTCAGATCTGCAACTTACTAACCATCATCCTCAAAGCTAGCTCCTTCACCCCTCTCTGACCCTTGATTTCTACAGTCTATAAAAGGCTTAATGATACTTATCACACAATGCTATTAAAAGGATTAAATAAAATTGTGAGTGTGTGTCCACGTGTGTGTGTGTATCTCAAATAGTGGTACGACATCATCATCATATTCAACCTTTATATAGCTTTGATTATGTGCTAAGCCCTGATCTACGTTAGGTAAACACAATTGCTTATTTAATCTTCCGAATAACCCTTACAGTGCAGACGAGGAAGCAGAGGTACAGGGCACTCATGTGGTGAGTACCTAGCAGAGCTGAGATATGAACCCAGACATCTGTGCCTGTCACCACCCTATGCTACTGTCTCCCACAAAATGAAACCACATTGGAAACTGTTTTTGTAAAGTACAAAACTTTTCATCATTGATGGTTATGATTTCATGGGCCACAGAAACTTTTTTTTTTCCTCCACTAAACCAACCTCCCCATTACATGTACTAATGTCAGAAATACCATTAAAAATAGAGAAAATCTTTTTTGCTTAGCCCTAAACAGCAAATACTAAAATCCAGGGGTGCCATAATGATTGCATCCAATCTATACGAGGGCAGGGAAGGGAGGACACAGGGACAGGAAAGGTCATGGAGGAGAGAAGGCAGAAACACCCATGTTTTGTTTATTTCACAACATTGCCTGGAGCTGACCTTGGAACAGTTCCATTTGTGTTGACTCGGGAACATAATTAGGGAAAAATTTAATTTTGCAAAGCTGTAAGGTTGGTGTCAATGGTTTCTTATTCCCAAGGCTAAAAACTCGAAATAATTTTTTTTTTTCAAAGTACAGCATAAGCCCAGGAAAACTATGGACTTCTCAAAAGCTAGGTAGACAGCACCTAAAAATCTTAGCCCACAAATTAAGCTTGTATCAGTGGTAGATCATAACCTAAACATGTAAACATAAGTGACAAGATTATTCTTTCTTATTTCTAATCTTTCAGAACAGCTGCTACTTCCCAAGGGCTTAATATTTTCTCCTGCTAGCTTCTACCAATCACTTTTACAAACAGAATGAGCTCCATTCCACAAGGCTCCTAGGAACCCTCACAGGCCACATGTGGTTGTGCCAACCCTTACACAGACCCTCTAATTTCAGCTATAAAGGACCAGCCTGAACTTCTTATTGAAAAAAAATTCTTCTCTTATAAACAGAAGTTTGTGGTCATTAACATGCTTGAAACTAAGTACAATTTCCACATAAGAATAAGAAATATTTATATATTGCTATATATTTATATTATTATATTAATATTTATATAATGCTGCCATGTGCCAGGAACCATCCTAAGCAATATGCAAAGATTAATTTCTACAGATCACTGCTAGCATTTATCATCCCCATTTTTCAAATGAAAACACCGAGGCTTAGAGTTTAAATGACTTTTTCAAGGTCATTCAGCTAAGCAGTAGCATAGCTAGAATTTTTACCTGTGTACTTCAGCTTTAGAGAATGAGCCCTCACCTATTCCATTGTATTACCACTCTAATCACTTAATATTTTAAGAATCAACTTACATTTAGCATTATTGCTAAATTTGGATCGAATTCTTCCTAGAGTTCCAGGCACTAAAGTAATATCATCCACATTAGTTAGGTAATTACTCAAGAACTCAGTTCTGTCACATGTGACATCTTCCATTCCTATGGGGAGGGAGAAAAAGAGTATTTTCAAGCAATATTAAAACGAAAATCCTAACACAGACACTAAATATAACATCCAGGCATCTCTTTACTTAGTTTTTAATAACTTGATGAGAAGAGCTCTGACTTTTGAGATTTTTGTATTTGACTTTAAATGTTTTAATGCTTCTCTGTCTAATCTTTTCTCTAGACTTTTACTTAGCCATATCATCTTGCGAGCACTAGAAGGCTGAAAATGCATTACCTCAATTACACTTTAAGGCATTCAGCCAGAACAGCAAGACAAATGAAGTCACCAAGATTTAAAAAACAACAACAAAAACACAATTAGACAGTCTTTATAAAAAGGATCTATTCTTTAAAAAAAAAAAACAAAGCAAAACAAAGAAACCCTAGATTGCTTCAAACTCTTCCCAGCTAGGAATAGTATAAATGGAATATACAGTTCTGTATCTCTTTTATAAAATGTCATTTTTCAATTCTCTAATGTATCTCCTGTCTCGAGTACATAATCACCAGTCCTCACTGTCTCCACTGGTGGCCTTGGATGTTACTGACAAAACAATACTGGCAACAAGAAATGAGAAGGAAAAATGTCAATTCCAATGACCACCCAAACTGAAAATCAAAATAACATTAAAAACAAGTTGTAAACAATGTAATTAGTCAGAACTGAAAGCTAGCAGCTAAAGCATGAGAAGGTTCTAGGTAGGGAGTTTTTTTAAACAACAAATATTTCCCCTCCATCCCAAGATTTTGTTGCCTTTCCCCATCAAGAAAAATTATTTTATCAAAATGCTTTTATTTAAAACATTGTTGTAAACTCAAATCTTAGCAACATAGACTATGGAGGCTGCTAGAGACTTTATCGAAATGTATGAGATGACCTAGAATGATGGAGAAGTTTTAATATATTGCTCAGTACAATTCAATATATGAATACTCTGTAGCAGGGAAAATAATCCTGTTGAAGAATACTCATATACTCACATCCTGTAAAGGATGCCGTAAGGTTTAAAAGTAAGGAAATACAACCAAGTACCCAGATCTGGTAAAATTCAAAGTATCACCTCCTGGGATCCCAGATCCAAAACCTTCCCTTCTTCAATACAAATTGGAATGAAAAGCAAGAAAAAATAAATAGCCTAAGGATTATATATCTTATACTTTAACAGTTAAACCCTTAGGAAGAAAAAATAAAGCAAAGAACAGCTATGTTTTAGCACCATGTTAGCCCAGAAAGGGTAAGTCCCCAGATACATATTAACAGAGGGATGAAAGAATCTCCCATTTGTTATATTTCTAGGAAGTCCCTTATGCCACCCCAACTGTGAACGACCTCCCTTGCTTTCAAAGTCCATCAGGCACCATGCTATAAGTGCTCCTCAAATGTCATCAGCCTTTACTCTGCAGACCAGCGTCGTGGAGGGGTGTTAATGTTCTCGCCTGAGAGATGAGGAAACTGAGACTTGGAGAGGCCACAAAAGCTATATAGTGTCATATAGCTGTTAAGTGACACCGTGCAATTTGAACTCCCATAAAATTCATTCCAACTCCAAAGACCATGCCCTAAAACACTAGACCATACCACCTTTTAAGAAAGAGGTGCTGTATACTTTGGTAGGCCAAAGTGGGCAGATCACCTGAGGTCAGCAGTTCAAGACCAGCCTGGCCAACATGGTGAAACCCCATCTCTATTACAAATACAAAAATTAGCCAGGCCTGGTGGTGGGCACCTGTAATCCCAGCTACTCGGGAGGCTGAAACAGGAGAATAACTTGAATCCAGGTGGCGGAGGTTGCAGTGAGCCGAGATCGTGCCATTTTACTCCAGTCTGGGCAACAAGAGTGAAACTCCGTCTCAAAAACAAAAAAGAAAGAAAAAAACAGAGGTGCTATAGTTGTCCCAAACCGAATGGATGTATTCATCTTGGAAGCCTGCACACTGAAAAGCCAAGGTTTTAACCTATCCATGACCTTTAACAATGTCTCAGCACATGACTCATTGGGACTCTTCTACTTAGATGTCTGGCTCCAGCACGTGAGCAAATGCTCTTGAACACCTCTGGGCAACTTAAATTGAATCAGCTTTGACATATGCTCCAACTTCTCTGACCTGTCTGTAGTTCTCCACCAAGCCAAACGCATGGGGCATGACTTTGCTAAGGGTTACATTTAGCCAACTCAGAGAAAAAAATTAATCCCTTTATCTTTTCTCCCCCCTAATTTCTCATAGATCTTATAGGACATTCTAGAAACACCTTCAGGACCAGAGCTAGGGAAATCTTCCTGCCGTTCTTAACAGAACTGCCAAAAGCCAATTTTCATCCTCCAAACTCCACTAGAAGGGAGAAGCCCCAAATTCCAAGGCTACTGTTTCAATCTAATATTTCTGGAATACAGGAGACACTCTCTAGAACTCAGTGTGCATGTCTCTGAGCCCCTTCCTCCTGCCCAGCTCTATAGTCGCATAATGTTTATGATGCTCTTGATCTTAAAGAAGTGGTCATAAATTTTTCTACTTCATAAAGTGATTTAGAAAAACAACTTCCTCTAACGTTTCTGCCTATCTCTAACAGTCCTCCAGATTACAGCAGGGCCTTCTCTTTTGGGCTTTGACTTCCTTCAGTGGATTCGGGGAAACCATTGGATTACACGCCACTTCTTTGACAAGAATCCTATGCCTCTGATCCGTTATCATATTTAGATGTGTTTTTTAACTATATAAACTCTGTGGGCTCCTTTTGGGGATGTGGCTGGCAGGGATGGGGATTATCACCTGATATGTCACATTCACAGAAGCAGGTATTAATATCACAAGGAAGCTGTCTGTATCACTTTAATAAGAGACAGATTTTTGTAGAAAGGCCTTTCCTGTAAAGAATAAAAAAATATAAAGGAAGTCTCAGCTTTTGATCAAAATGAACCCAGGGATCTCTCAGGTCATCTCATGCTTTTGAATCACGGCCTGATTTTTTTCCCCATCTTAAAGAAAAGGGGAAGGAGGGTAAGAATAGAATCTTGGCTTCTAAAGGAAAGAATTCTTTTCCTCAATATGATCAGAAACATTATCCATCGATCCTATTAGCAAAGAAAAAACAAAGCTTTACCATGGTCTCCGACAAAGATGACATTGACACACCGATGCAGTTTTAGCTGTTTCAGTCCATCCATTAATTGCCCTACAGTTTTGTCAATTTCCCTCAGAGGATTTGTCATCTGGGAAAAAGAAGCAAGTTAGTCCCCACAGGGTTTTCTTTCTTTCCCTTTCAATCTCTCATAGATCTTCTACCCCTAGAACATTTTGGAAAGAAAATTTCCGGCCCAGAGGCAGAGCTTTGTCTGGGGAGATTGACCTGCCATTGCATTATTAAAGGAAATCTGATCTAAGAATGTTATATATGCTTTCTTTTGAGAGAATTAAAACCTCTCCTCATCCAATCCCTTTAAAGATTCTTTGATATAAAAATGTCAAAAATTTTGTGAATGAAAATTCTTAAAGAGATAAAATGGACTTTCTAAAATGTGACAGCATCCTAGAAATCCAAGAGTTTTGAGAGTGAACAGAAAGTCAGATAGACAGTTCCCTAAGTAAAATCACATTAGATTTTGAACCATGGCAATAAGAGAGACATTAAGTGAATCAAAAGCTGTTCTGAGGTTAAAATCATAACCTTCCACTGGATAATAAATTAGATTATCATTAATACAATGAGATCCATCTTGTTCTATGTAATTTCACTGTTGGATTCTGCAAGCAATGGATTCTTAGTAGAAGAACCTATTCTAAGAAACAAGTTATTGCTTCTCACTTTAGTTATTTTAAAGCTGATTTTGAGTGAAATAAGAATCTATAAGAGTCCTAACTTAAACAGAAGTGAACCTGAGTTTGTTCTAGAATGTTTCTTCTTTAACAAAATATGAAAACTCAATTCTTTTCTGAAGACCATTTCCAAAGCCTAAAAAACAGTATCCATCTCTCATTTTCTTACTTCAAATGGAAGTTTCGAACAGCATGAACGCTTTCACATACTAAAGTCTTTCCATCCCCCTTTCATCTTTAACTGTACAATGGAAAGATTCTTAAGAAACATCTCATCTGACAAAGAATAGAAAGATAGAGGAAGCATATTTAGATGAATTTTATAGCTTAGCTAACAATCACATACATACACCCAAGATGATTAAGATAAGCACAACAGGGATTTGAGTACCACTTTTACTCAGACACATGATATTATCTTCCACTAGCATCTTCTCAGATGAATCAAGACCTTTCCTCCTTTCATTTCACCAGAAAAATCAGGTGTAAACTTCTTTTCATGATGGGAGTCAGTATCTCAAATCCTATCCCAAGGAGGAAGTCACGATAGAGTTTCAGAAAGAGATGTGCCATATAATCTGAAGGGATTAACAGGTGTGAAGCAAAGTGGTATTTGCTTCTGAGAAAACCATGCTCTCCTGAAGGATCTCTGTCTAGATAAAGAAATACCAAATGCACAACAGGTTTTAATCTTTGGCAATGATTTATTTTCCTTTACTCAGCAGGATGACCCAGATAAAATCCACAACCTACTTCTTAGGGATCAGTTCAGAGGATAACAGATAAGATACTGCTTCAAAAGTGTTCAAAGGTTTTAGGAAAAATAGCAACTGATGGGCTGTTCTAAACATACTGAGAAGAGTAGATATTTCTTGTGGAAACGGCATACAACTCTATCTGCCCATTATTTTCTCTTTCCTTCTGTCTCAGCTCTTTCCTTCTCTACAACCTACACCTTTTCTGATCACTGAAGGCTCAGACTCCTAATCTAAGCCAACTTCCGATTGAGTTCTAATCCACATTGTCTTTGAGAATACCCCCTTTTACCTTGAAGGGTTGTTCTCAAGAACCAGGGCCACAGACCATGTGACTGATCCTGTGAGTAAGTGCAAACAAAACCAATCTTAACAGTCACTCCAGCCTAAATGTTAATACTAGTTTTGGGGCAACAAACTCTTAAAAAAGGGAAATACTTCTCTTTTTCCTGTTATGTTGAGAACTCAGGTAGTCTTCGCATCAGTGTTAACCTCTGAAGCACCACATTCTTCTGGACTCAAAGCCAAGGTCAGTGCACCAGAGTTTTTCTAAAACTTACTCAGCCAAGTTTCCAACCAAGGCACTGAAAGCAACCTTCAACTCAGACCTGCCCGCCACAAAGCTTTGGAACAGTAGATAAACTTACTTTGTCCTGACGAGTTTCCGCAGCATAATGATCCATCCTATGTATTTTTCTTCTTCTTTTCTTTGGAGGAGCAACTGGTCTTTCCTGTCTCCTCTTAGGGACAACTTTCCTCTTAGGTCTCTTAGCCGGAGTAAAGGGTGAGCCATAACTACTCTCCTGTACTGGCGGATAGAGATGTCTGTACTCAGAAGTCGTCTGTCCCTCTGGGTCAGATGTAAAGCTTACACTTTCCCATCTGGGATCAGCAGAGTCTCAGTTAGAAGAACTAAGGCTCCTTAAGTGAGAAAAAATTGGAATAAGGGATGGATGATTCGAGGAACTCTATAGAGAGAAGCCTCTTAAATTGATGTTGATGCTGTTGTCACAGCTTCTTTGCTGAGAACAAGAATCCAATATAAGAAAATCTAGTCACATGGGTTTCTTTTTGCTGATATATTTGGATATACAGGAAGGTGACATTAGAGAAGCTCTGTATTCCCTAACTCCTGCATTAGGAAGAGACCAGTCTTTGGTTATGAAAAGCTCTCCACTTATAAAGAACTAACTTAAAACTAGGCCAAATACTAGCCACTTGGACATTTCAAGGTGACAATGAGGTTCATGTAAGTGATTCCATTCAGAATCTGACAGGTATCTATCTGTTCATGCCAGCAAGCCAGCAAGTATGTCAAAGCAACTGTCACCTTCATTGGCAAGGATCAAGGATGGAATGAAACATAAATAATAAGTAATCCTCCTTAATCATCAATGTACTCCCACAAATCAGAACTTTTAGCAGGAGAAAGAACTCATTGACAACTGAGGTTTTCAGTATAGAGAAACTCTAAGCCAAAAATCTCATTTAAAATTAGAGATAAAATCTTAAAGATCATCAAAAAGTCATCTCTTTTTTATCTTGGTATATACAGATCAAGAAAGAGTCTACTCATGCTCTTGCTATAAGAAATCTGCTTTTAAGGGGAGTTACATGCTATGGGTTTTGTTTTGAAAATCGAGAGAGCAGTAAAGTTGACACATAAACTGAAGATAACCTTTTGGGATTTCCAAATGCTGGAGGAAAAACAGGCCCCTGATTTGCTGATGGTGCAAAGGTGAATTAAAGCAGCAAGCCTTGCTGGTTACCTCACTGACTTCTCTTGGGAGGACTGTCCTGAGAGCCATTCAGATGCAGGAAGGGGCGGGAGGAGGAACAATGTTAGTGTATCCAAGAAGGGGGACATCTGCCATGCGATTTCACCATTTCCAGGGCAAGCCACGGCAAAGGCACTTCTGCTTCTGACTCATCCACTCTCCGCTAGAGCCATCGAAAGACACAGCCCGAAGACTTTGGTTTTGTTTGTTTGTTTTTTTAATGCTCCTAGTTTTAGGCAAATCTCCATGAGAAAAGCAGCAAAAGGAAAAGAGGATTTTCCCTTTCATGGTCACTGAACACATTCTGCTAGCGATCAAGTCGGCCCATCAGACTCTATGCCATCTGCAAGAGACCTCAACATTCCAAAGGCTCCAAAGGTGAGCCCTTCCGATTGCAGCAGGTTAGAAGAGCAGAAGAGTAGGGTTTAGTCAAACTGGGTTTTCATCCAGTGATTATATTGCATGTATTTCCTTCTTCAAAGGTTAGAGGTAGATGAAAGCTAAGTTTTCACTGACCAGCCATACTTTAGCCTGAATTTAGAAATTTTAGCCTGAGGTTATTAAGAGGATGGGAGGTAGAGGTGCAGATTTCTCTGCTTTTCAGGATACTTTGCCATCTGAAGGTAGGGACTAGCCAGCCAAAGCTCTGCCTCTAGGCCTGGAAGAGCAGCCGAACAGGGGGTCACAGAGAAAGCATAGAAGGTCGAAAAGAAAAAGATTGCGCCAATAATCAAAAGCAAGCATATCTTTGAACATTCACCATTACACTCTGAAACCAGGAGCAATACAACCTTTCTTGAAGCTATTAGCTCAATGTTTGGTCATCTCATTTAATAGCTTTTGAGAATCATCCTGAAAAAATGTTCACTCAAATATTTAGCAAATAAAGCATAAATTTCAACTGAATTCATCTTAGTATACCATATAGCATTTTGCTACTTAAGGTCGTTTCCATGAAATTCCAAATATGAGTTATTGTCTTATATGTAAAACATATGTTACTAATTTTTAATCTTTCAAATAGTATGTTATAATCTTTTCATGTATAATAAACATAAATAATGACATATAGGTAGGCATATAGGACACATAGGTATATAAACCAATTAGCCTACAATAGAAGAGGGGTTTTGCTGACTTGCTTTGGTTTCATGTTTTAAAAGTGTAAACTATTTTGGTTTTTCTTTCAGTTAAAATAAGATTCCTAGAACCAGATGAGAAATAACTGAAATCTGAAAATATCTCTTGCCTTATGAGAAGAAAATGACCAGGTTGTCAGGTTGCCAATACTGAAGATAAACTCCAACGTATCCAATTAAGAGTTTACCCAGTAGACATATGAGAATACCCTAGTTGCAAGAAGTAGTAATACTGAAAATACATCACATGAATACTTTCAACTCTTAATGCAAAAGTACTGTAAGAAAAATCTGTTCATATATTTATGAGCAACCCTGAGGATAGAAAAATTATAGCAAGTTAAAGCCTCCTATATCATGCTTCATTGATTCCCTACTCATTACTTTCAAAAAAACTTGTTTCTTAATTAAAACACATATACATATACTTTCATGCATGTAATTATAACTGAACTACACATATTAGAAATCCAAAGATGTTTATTGATAAGGAACATTTATCGTTAAGCCACATAACTTTAAAGGTTTGAGTTATACCTCATCTGTATTATGAAAAGCCAACTTTTGCCATAAAAAAATGTTCTGTATAATTTGAACATAGTTATTAACTGACCACTTTGCTTATCTACTGGACTGAAGGAGGGTTAAATGGTTCCATGGAAGGGACTGTGGTTTGGGAGTCCAAAGTTCTGTGGTTCTGTCTTCAAGTTCTCCACTTAGCAGCCAAGCAAAGGTATCAGAGTCCTGCTTTTAAAAGAATGGCCATACTAATCCCTGTTTTGCCTACCCAACAGGTTCTTTGGGGGGATATTATTACCCAAGAGGTCAAACATTTAAGTAGGGAACGTGAAACTGCTTAGGTGTTTTGTTTTGTTAACATGTTGATAAAATGTGGTTCCTTTTGTTCCCTTTAGGTTCATCTCAAAGAAAGTCATCCTAAAGATAAAACATCCATTCCTGCTTTGGTGTCTATTTATTTATTTGTTTGTTTGTTTGTTTGTTTATTTTGAGACGGAGTTTCACTCTTCTTGCCCAGGTTGGAGTGCAATGGCGCGATCTTAGCTCACTGCAACCTCTGCCTCCCAGGTTCAAGTGATTCTCCTGCCTCCGCCTCCTGAGTAGCTGGGATTACAGCCATGTGCACCACCATGCCTGGCTAATTTTTTTGTGTTTTTAGTAGAGATATGGTTTCACCACATTGGTCAGACTGGTCTCAAACTGCTTTGGTGTTCTTAACCGGCATCACGTATGCAGATGTTTACCTCATTTTATCATTTGTGTTTCACAATCATACAAGACAGGTTAAATTTCACAGGGAAGGAAAAAGAGCATCTAACTAATGACTTCAGTGATTTAAGACAAACTAAGAATGGTTTCACGTAGCTATTAGTTACTAGTGCTTAAATAAATCACCACTGAATTAGTGTCAAAGCATTCAGAAACACTTATGACTCCTTGGTCACATGCTACAATTTCTTCAAAAATACTTACACCAAGATATATTTATCGGTATCTCTAATTCTTCTGAAAACAATGAACTTATTTATAGTCAGCAGTGTGCTGTGGGATACTAGGCTACTTAAATATTTAAAAATTTTAAACTTGCAAATTTACAAAAGTTTAGATTTGCAGACTCCATCGTATTTTTTAATATCTGTGCTGAATGAAATGTGGGGACATTTCTAACCATTCCTTTCCCACCTTCTGAATTTGAAATTATGCTGGATGCTACCTTACAGATTGTCTTCCATGATGACGGCTGAGTGATAAAAAAATATGTCACCCTCAGCTGGGAACAGTGGCTTATGCCTGTAATCCCAGCACTTTGGGAGGCCAAGGCGGGTGGATCATCTGAGGCATCTGAGGTCAGGAGTTCGAGACCAGCCTGGCCAACGTGGTGGAACCCCATCTCTACTAAAATAACAAAAATTAGCCGGGCATGGTGGTGTGTGTCTGTAATCCCAGCTACTCAGGAGGCTGAGACAGAAGAATTGCTTGAAACTTGGAAGATGGAAGTTGCAGTGATCCAAGACCGCATCACTGCACTCCAGCCTAAAAAAAGTTACCTTGCTCTACTAAGCAGATTCATTCAGCAGTATAGTGCTCTCGATAATTTGTCACTTTGGGCAGGGAGGGTATGAATATGTTCATATGTTGAATGTGGTGACAATTTCACAGTATATAATACCTATTCCAAAATGTATTAAATTAAAAAGGGTCTATTACTATAACTTACACCAAGTTGATTGTATTATGTCTAGTAAGATTATTGAGGCTGCTTAGCTGATCTACCCTCCTCTCTAAACTGCCTAATCATTTTAAGGGTGCTGAAATTCATTTACAATGTTTTGTATTGCAGCTTTCATCTCAAGATTTTTTTTCCACTCCTTTCCCAAATGCCAACCCTTCCTGATCATTCATCCTCCACCTGACACCCACAAGGCTAGAATACACCCCATTTCCTGTTACCATCAAGTTTAGGATATATGAATATTTAAATATCAAAGCAATCTGAAATGAAACCCCTGTAAGAGAAACAGGTACGTCTATGATTTTAAAAAAAATATTTTTAGTCTTGTAGTTATTTGACTTTGCATAAACCTTGTAGATACAAACATTCATACAGACTTGATACAAATCCTGAAATAAGGTCAGTCAGTCAGGTGGGCCAGGGCCACAGGTTCTTCTCAGGCAGTTGCTAAACCACTAACCTCAGGGCCAAAAGGGCCATATTTGTGTCCAGAGAAATCAGGTTGTTCAGAATAGAAGGCATAGACTGAAGGCCTGTAAGAAAATTGGAAGGTTCAGAATCTCCACACGTAACAAAATATATCACATATTTTTAAAACCGCATTTTAAAAAATGTTCTCAAGTTAATTTATCCCTCGACTACTCTTTGTATTACCATGGAAAACTTTCTTTTTCTATTGCTTCTATGACCACCACCCCATCTGTGGTAACTGTCTGGAACCACCTTTAGGACTCAAAAGTCACAAAAGGAAACTTGAACATGTACTCGGGTCCTTGACCCTCAAGATAACAGAGGCTGGTAATTGACATGGGCTGTGCAATCTGCAGCCTGAAAGAACAACTAACTCCATTACAGAGAAGCGTCTCTCATGATACTTCTGCAATCCTTGGGATGCTGCTGGTTCATTTATCAAAGCCGGAAACTCCCTTCAGCTCTGCTGGGTAGTGGACAGGATTAATAGCTGCGGTAATCCAAGTAATTAAATGGTCCCAATAACCAAAGTCTATTATATCCTTCTTAAGGAAGTAACACTTAAGGCTAAGAACCACAAAACTTTTAATTCCAAACATTGGCTGTGCTTCTATTCCGCAGTCTAGTGTTCGACTCAATTCTAAGCTAAGATGGAAATATCCTGACGAAAGAAGAAAGACAGAAACAAATACCTCTCATTGTCTGGCAGGGTGAGCCACTGCAATATAGTTAATATTCTCCGCTCGTGAGGGATGACACTGGAGGGCAAAAGCAAGCAGAGCATGTTGTTAGGTTGCGTTTCCACAAACTCAAGCCTGTTAAGTACGTGCTCTTGCACCCAGGCCAAATGCTCTCGATTTACCACCATCTGTTTTCACTTCATCTGTAGTAAAAGGCTTTCTTTCGAGTTAGCTTTTAAACTACTATTTGCAACATATTATGTTGCTCAACCTTTTCCACAGAAGGCTGCACTGGAAACTCTGATTCACAGTCAATATGAGGAACCTGTCTCACTAATCAGTAACTCTACTGCAAGCAGAAAGGACCTTGGCTTCAGAATCAATGCCATTTATTCTGTCAAACCTTTAGCTGTGGCCATAAAGGGATCAGGACTTACATCCCCAGTCTGCCTCTTGCTGGCAGGGTGACCTCTCTTGACCTCTTGGCCTCAGTTTACTCATCGGTAAGATAAAGCCAACAGCAAAAGACACTGTACAGCGTGGTTGTAAGGATGAAATGAAACAAGGCAAGGAAAGGGCATGTCTAGTACCTAAGACACAGTAATTTCTTTAAAACCCTATTTTTTTTTATGATCATAATTAGTCATCATTCTGCCTCTAAATAGCTGTATGACTTTAGAAGCCTTATCTGACCTGAAACTTTAAGTTTCTCCTCCATAAAATAATGGGTTAGGAAAGGTTTTCTTGCCATTTTCTTCCAGCCCTATAAAAATCTACCAGTAACAGGCTGGGTGTGGTGGCTCACACCTGTAATCCCAGCACTTTGGGAGGCCAATGCGGGCAGATCACCTGAGGTCAGCAGTTCAAGATCAGCCCAACCAACATGGCAAAACCTAGTCTCTACTAAAAATACAAAATTAGCCAGGCGTAGTGGCACATGCCTGTCATCCCAGCTACTTGGGAAGCTGAGGCAGGAGAATCACTTGAACCCAGGAGGCAGAGGTTGCAGTGAGCCAAGATTGTGCCATTACACTCCAGCCTGGGCAACAAGAGTGAAACTCTGCCTCAAAAAAAAAAAAAAAAAAAAGAATAGGCACATATAATTAAGAGACTGACAAAAAGGGTATAATCTTCATCCACAATGACTTTTGTGTTTAAGTCTCTTTCCTCTGTTGAAATATAATTACCCTAAGTCTGGCACTAACTGTAAGAGCTCTGAGGGTTCCTGGCTAATGTGGCAGTACTGCATTCCAGGCTGAGTTACATTAAGGTGCTCACAAGCTGAGTGATATCTTTAGTCAGGGAAAATTCACCCACTCTTTCCCAACAAGGAGCACAAAATATGTTTTTGCTCCCCATCCAAGACCAGGCATTAGAGCCATGTTCATAATGAATTCACACTAAAGCTGAAGTTTAATTGCGGTCAGGAAAAATTATTGCGGAACATTGGTGAGCCATTTAAACTTTTACTCTTGGTGGATATGAGCAGTGAGAGAGCCAGGAGGATAAACCCTGAGGCAGGGGCTCCCATCAAGTGGTCTCTCTCCCTCCCCTCCCCTGTCACCATCCATCTCACAGGGACTTGTCATTCCCCAGGCAACCACTTTTTCTGGAGCTATCACCCCAGACCAGAAAATCATGTGTACCATAAAATGAGTCCAAATTTAAACATATTCCAAGGCTACTAGATAAATGTGACCCTGTTCATTATATCCTATAATTGAATTAGAAAGAGGCAGAGCAAAGCCAGGTTAATCACTTAAGGAATTTAATTCTTCAGCCTTAGAAATCCTTTGTATCTGAGCAAAATAATTGCATATTTTGAATTCTTTCCTAACTTAAAAAAAAAGTGAATGCTGGAGCCTTTTCAGTTTACCTTATTTCACTACCTGCCTAAAAGCTGCTTTATTTTATGTAATTGGTGTTAAGCTGCAGAAACGGGCCCTAATGAACCCACTTTTAATACTATGGGAAAATACAAACTAACAGAATCTGTGTCAAGCTCAGAATGCTCACCCTTGAATGCCCTCGTTGGATGGGGTACTTGAACAATGGTACACAGGGAATTAAAAACACCAGCTGTGAGGCCAGAGTGCTTGGGTTTAAATCCTGACTCCAACAAATGCTGGTGATAAGACTTGGCAAGTTATCTAAGCTTTTCATGCTTCTAGAAAATGAGGACAATAATAGCATCCATCTCATCAAGTTATTGTAAAGATGAAAACAGAATACATGTGAAGCATTTAGAATAGTGCTGGGCACATAGAAAGGGTTTAGAAAAACATTAGCTTTTATTGTTATTACTAACTTTATTGGTCTACAGAGATGATATATTCATTCACAAAATATTTGTTAAGGGCATATTAGGTTTAAGGCATTTGTGTACACATAAATAAAGATACTCCTACCAAAAAGACTATTATGGAGGAGGCTCCATTTTCTCTGGGGGAAAGATAAGTAAGTGATTTTTATTTTGCGGACAAGTGCTGATTGTGTGTATGAGAATAATAAAATGAGGACTCTGGAGAATAAAATGAAGATAATAAAATGAGGACTCTGGAGGTCTCAGTAGACAGCCTACCTGTGATCTTAGGTGCAAAACTTAACATCTCTAGGTCTTAGTGTTCTAATATCTCTCTTTTTTTTCTTTTGAGACAGAGTCTCGCTCTGTTGACTAGGCTAATGTGCAGTGGCATGATCTCGGCTCATTGCAACCTCCATCTCCCAGGTTCAAGTGATTCTCCTGTCTCAGCCTCCTGAGTAACTGAGGTTAAAGGTGTCTGCCACCATACCTGGCTAATTTTTGTATTTTTAGTAGAGACAGTTTTCTCCATGTTTGTCAGGCTGGTTTTGAACTCCTGACCTCAAGTGATCCACCCACCTTGGCCTCCCAAAGTGCTGGGATTACAGGCATGAGCCGCCACACCCGGCCTCTAATTTCTTAAATGAGGAGTTGGACCAGGTTGCCTCTAAGTTTCTTAGGTGTTCTAGGTTATCCTTATGAAATAACCTCAGAGACCAAAAAGACATGGCCCTTAGCCATTAGTGTTTCAATATTCAATATTCAAATATAATGCACAGACAGCACAAATAAATCTGACCAAGAAAGAGTAGATATCGAAGCAGAAAAAGAAATGGGGTATGTGTTGCTGTCTTTACCATCACTGATTGGTGGAGAATTTATCATGAGACCAAGTATATTAGACATGGTAAAAAATAAAAAGGAAAAGAAAAACTAGATGAAGTATTTAATGGTAAAGAGAAGCAAATTACCTTAAGACATATCTAGCCCTTGTCTAGTCAATGTTGAAAGAGAGAATATGAATAAGAAAACAAATAGCATTTATTAGTTGTTCTCTATGTACCAAGTACCCTAATAAGCATTTTACTTGTTTTATTTTATTTTATTTTTAAAACAGGGTCTCACTGTCACCCAGGCTGGGGTATAGTAATGCCACCTTGGCTCACTGTAGCCTCAACCTCCTCGGGCTTGGTGATCCTCCCACCTTAGCCTCCATAATAGTCTTTTTGGTAGGAGTATCTTTATTTATGTTTACATAAATGCCTTAAACCTACTATGCCCTATAGTAGCTGGGACTATAGGCATGTGCCACCATGCCTGGCTAATTTTCATATTTTTTGTAGAGACAGGGTTTTGCCATATTACCCAGTTTGGTCTCAAACTCCTGGGCTCAAGTGATCTGCCTGCCTCGGCCTTCCAAAGTGCTAAGACTACAGGCATGAATCACCATGCCTGGTCATAAGTATTTTAAATATGTCAGCTCATTGCATCTTTGTAACATCCCATGATGAAGATACTATAATTTTTATTTAAAGATGAGGATGTTGATTTGTTGAGAGATTAAATCACTAGTCCAAGGTCACCAATCTAATAAGCAGCAAAGCGGGATGAGAATCAATCTAAACAATCATGCAATAATGGGAATTACCGTCTTTGAACATGAATTGGCACAAAAGAATGGAGCATCAGCTGATTATTTCAGAATGAAATACTATCATTTAAAAAGCAAGAAAAATTCTAGGTTGCAGTACAGAACCATGTTAAAAAGAAGGCCTTCAAAGTCTAAGTCTATGGTTTGAATTTGGTTCTACATTTTTTTAAGTTTTTTCGGAATATACACTGTGTAGATTTTCTTGACCTTTACATTCTCTTGACTAACTGAAAGTGTGATCCTATTTTTTAAAGTTATAAAATGCTTCAAAAAAAAAAAGCAAAGAAAAAATGAATCCAAGTCACTTTCAGGATAAGGAGGAGATAAAATAATAGTCTGAGAAGTGAAAACTACAGACATCTTTGGAGCATATAAAAGCCACCTTCTTATAAGTGGTTTCAAATGGGTGGAGAAAATTACCATTCAAAACCAGAACACTGAGCCTTTTCAATGAGGCTTTGCAGCAGTTTCAGGGGGGCAAAGGTGGGGACTCAGTATTAATTATGTTGTTGGCGCCTCTCCATTCTGCCAGGCAAATATGTTATAGAGCAGAAAAAATCACTTCTGTAAGCATCTATGACAGTCAAGAGTTAAAGAAATGTCATGCATAGGATAAAACTGGTGAAGCAACATGCCGTTCACAACTCAGAAACTTCTTACAAAACAGAACGAAATCTTCTAAAGGGATGTTCTATGCTAGATTCAAAGCATCAAACCCAATTTCAATTTAGCCCTTCAAATCTGAAAAAAAAAAAAAAAAAAAAAAAAAAGCTACTTTTATTTCTGATTTTAGAGAATACAGACAGAACCATTCTGGATTAATTAGAGCCTGTGATGGCTCTCAGCACACTGCTATTATAGAATAGTCAGATTTTTGTTAGGCATACAGGCAAACACGAAAACAGCTTTAGGTGGTTTAAAAAAAAAAGATGGAAAGAACATCTCAGTGGGAACAAAATCCCCGTGAAAGTAGAAACAGATTTCTCTTCTTACTAAGGAACCTTAAAAATCATCAGCATGTTGATACTTTTATTAGGTAGATTCATCTTAAGGTTTATGAACATTAACTGTTTATTCCCCACCACTTCTTTGGGGATAGGAAGAAGCCCCATTTTCTTATTAGAAAAATCCTGGCATTCAATGGGAAAATGAAGTGAAAATAGAGGCTTCTCCTTGGTCTCCTGTCTGGAACTTTCAATCTCTAGCCCACTCCATCGGCTCCCCAGATACTTGAGAACACCTAGATTTTTTTTAACTTCTAAACCAAAATAAATATAGTATGTTGTTATATATTGATAGAAAATAATAATGAAAGCCACAGCCATAAATAGTCTAAGAGAAATATACATTTCCTAAGTAGCAAGTTGCCAAAAACCTACAAACTAGAGTAGAAAAATCTAAAGGACATCTGGAAGGAGAAACCATCTACTTACATTCTGTTAAGAGAGGATGGAACAAAGGAGAGCTGGAGGAGAAGAAGAAGGTGGGAGGAGGCCTCCCAAAGGAGAAGGTGGGAGGAGAGAGGGAGGACCTGGGGGGCTGGGGGGTGGAAATACCTGGAGGGTTATTTTGAATTAGTAAATATTCAAACGTTCCATACTTTCACATTTAACTGAAACAAAATAAAAATTAAATTGATGTTTTAGAAATTGAATCATACCTGTCATTTTATAAATATTAACAAAATAAAGGTAACTTACACAGACCAAAAGAATGTTCCAGCGTTCACCCCTTGCTTGGTGGCTGTAATCCATAGCTAATGAGGAAATATAAGCGGCTTAAAATGTGTTCTGAGTTTTGGTCAAAGAATAAAAAGTTTTAAAAACACATTAGATCAGATATCTTCTACTCCACTCACACCCAGCAGAAATTTCACGTTATTCGTAAACATTTATTTTCACATCTGGAAGTCAGAATCATGATTTCCACAAATGCTATTCAATACATTCTCTGCAAAAGCTCTCAAAAGCTCCTGCTATGATTCTAGTGACATATTTTTAAAATTCTTATTTTATCTCAAAAGCCTCTCTCTTCTGTACCTGTCTTTTCTGATCATCGTTTTGAATGTTTCACTATGTGGCAGAATTCTGCTCATCAAAGGACCCAAGAGTGAACCATATGTTTCCTTTACTATTGAAAACCTCAATTGGAGTGCCCCAATTTGGTAGCCAGATGTCAGAATTTTGGAACCCAGCTTGTCCTGTTTTAGTTTAAACTAGATGAATGAGAAGGGGGAAAAGGGCTAATTTTTAATCTAGATTTTTCCTATATCTTTTGCCTAGCGTTTTAGTAAATGTTATTTTAGAGGAAGGTTCCTAGAATAAGTTAAATGAACCAAGCATTTCATTAAGGTTTTTAAAATATTCTTTATAGCATGTGCTATTGGGGAGGCGTAAGATACAGGAGTTTAGAACCTGGGCTCTGCAACCAGGCAGCTTGGATTTTTAAGCCTTGCTTTTGTCACTTACCGGCCATGTAGTTAGTCCTTTGGCGAGTTACTTACCATCTTTGTCTTTCTGTTTCCTTTACAATGTAGATGATATTATCTAGCACATAGGATTATTCTAAGCTTTAATGAGTTAATACATTAAAGTCCTTAAACCAATGTCTTAACATCTGGCAAACATTCGATAAATTTCCATCTTTATTATTATGTAATAATGGAAATAAATAATCCAGTTATTCTAGTAACATTAAAAACAGCTTAAGATGGCAAGTGTCCCAAGTCTATGAGAAGAAACCCCCTTACTTAAGGAAAGAGACTGGAAGCATATAAGAGAGAAAATTATAGTTTGCCTAAGACCAAAACAAAAACGATCTGAGAATTGTAGCCAGCCCATTTTCTGGTTTCATTGTGACCAGCCTCTGAAAGTATCCTTGGCCAGGCGCGGTGGCTCACACCTGTAATCCCAGCACGTTGGGAGGCCGAGGCGGGAGAATCACAAGGTCAAGAGATTGAGACCATTCTGGCCAACATGGTGAAATCCTGTCTCTACTAAAAATACAAACAAAATTAGCTGGGCATGGTGGCGCGTGCACGTAGTCCCAGCTACTTGGGAGGCCGAGGCAGGAGAATCACTTGAATCCAGGAGGTGGGGGTTGCAGTGAGCCAGGATCGCGCCATTGCACTCCAGCCTGGCAACAGAGCAAGACTCTGTCTCAGAAAAGAAACAAAACGAGAAAACAAAAAACAGGATCCTTAAAGAGGGACAACTTATTTTTTAAGGAAATGGGTAACTGCGAGGTGGAGAACTTTGAGGACCTTAACCACTGTTTCAAAATGATCTGGAATGCCTTCCCTGGGAAAGCTTGAAAAGGGCCCTAGGCCCCTTGGGGCCTCTACAAATCCTCAGCCCAAAACTCACAGCTACTGTAGCTGGCAAATGAGGGATGGGGCAGGAAAACATACAGCACACTCTTCAGTCTGTGGGTTGTGAGCTGCCTGAGGATTTCATGGCTCTGAGGGACTAGCCCTTCTTGGCTAGGCTTTTGGTTCCCTGCAATGTTTGGAGACATAAGAATCTCAGATTGCTCTGAGAGCCCTTCAATCCATTTAGTCCAAAGCTCTTTCTACTCTAAAGACAAATTTGGGCATCCTCCAGTAACCCCAGCCCAACCAGGGTTCAAAATGTGTCCTGGACTTCCATTCATTCTTGTTTCAGCATCTCCACCAGCAAGATCAGCTCAAACAAAGTGCTGGACACACTGTAAAACCATGCCAGTTCCCAAAGAGGCCAGTTTTATAGTAAGGGACCTATTTTCATACTTATTTTAATTGTACATATACAATCTTAACACATCCAAAATATAAACAACTTCCTAGAAGATATACTGCCTTGCTATTTCCAAGGAGATTGTACTAGGCAATATTAGGCATCTATGAAATTTAAGATTAATACGGAGCTTCATAAAGGAAAACAAATTTTTAATACAAACTTGTCAAATAATGTCTCTGCACTTTCAAAAAGTATACTGTAGAATACATGCTGATGTTGGCATTATCTGGGCAACAGGAAGTTCTAAGAGTAATTTAGCTCAGTTACCCTTAGGGAAAAAAGATCACTGGAAGAGGTCTTCACAGTTTCAAAAGGAAGGAGCATGCAGAATGAAAATGACAGAGTATGTTAAAATTATATGATGGCAAAGTTAAGATCATTTGTTGTTTCTATTTTTCTGTACTTTCCAACAGTTTTACAGTGACAATCAGCTTATTTGTAATCAGAAAAAAACAATTTTAAAAAGCATTATGTCTTAGAAGGATACAGTATAAAGTATGGAGACAAATCAAAGGTAAAATTTGTATTTCTTCTAAAAAAAGTCAAAAAGCAGAAAAATTCTGCCTGTTTCTTGGTAAAAGTCAGGTTGATCACATTTTCAAAAAGAAAATTGAGAGCATGTTCAGAAATGTACAAAAACTGAAAAAAAAGATAAAATACTTAAAATGAAAAGCACATTCAAAAATCTGAAACAAAAGAATCCTAGCAGTATAGAAGCAGATAGGTCAAGGTTCAGCAAATGGTGCCAGATTGAACATAAAGTTCTTATAAGTTATATCAGGAGCTGCTTTAACCATTCCTTTGCGGGTCATATGTCTATATTTCAGGGCTCAGAAGTTAAATCTAGAAATTCCCAAGGGGAAAAAAAAGTCACTAAAATGTTGGTCCAGAAGAAGAAAAGTGTGTACAAACCTACAAGTTTATAAAAAAGAGAGAGAAGCTTGCCTGTTCTTTGTTAATATAAGTGCTAAATTTTCTCCAAATTTGAATGCAATATAGATTTCTTCAGAGGGTGATTTAAAAAAGAAAAATCAGGCCAGGCACCATGGCTCACACCCGTAATCACAACACATTGGAAGGCCGAGGCGGATGAATCACCTGAGTTCAGGAGTTCAAGACCAGCCTGGCCAACAAAAACCCCATCTCTACTAAAAATACAATAATCAGCCATATGCGGTGGCAGGCACCTGTAATCCCAGATACTCAGGAGGCTAGGCAGGAAAATTGCTTAAACCCAGGAGGCGGAGGTTGCAGTGAGCTGAGATTGCACCATTGCACTCCAACCTAGGCAAGAGAGCGAGACTCTGTCTCAAAAAAAAAAAAAAGAAAGAAAGAAAACAACTAAAAAAATAATAATAAACTTAAATAAACCCTAGGTTTGAGCTTTCTTCCTTTAATCCCCAAATTCCCTGCATTGCTTTCCTTTAACTGGAGGCCCAGCTTTTAACATTTGTGTCCTAGATGCTGCTTTGTGAAAAGGGGACAAATAGGAATGATATTGAATCTTGTGATATGTTATTTATTAGGAATCAAAAAGGCCTCCCCCACAGGAACCAAGTGGGTTAAATATGAAACTCAACACTTTCTCAAATTTAGCATGTAGCTTTGGGTGAAAAGAGGTTTTGAAAAAGAAATATATTAGCCAAAATCATTTTTTCAAAAAATGTAAACTACTAGTGTAGTCTTTCTAGCAGTTCTTTGAAGGGAAGTCATTCCTTTGCATTCAAAAGCATTGAGCTACGATAAACAGAATTCTAGGAGACCAGGGGATGGGTGAGCACTTGCTTCAGCAGATCAGTTGATGAGAATCAGAACAAGTTGAGGATGTGAGGCTTGGGGGAAGGCAGCAGAATAGACTGGGGCCATATGCAGCTGCTTTTCATGTGATTAGGGCCAGAAGGAGGTGAGTGAGGAAGCTGTTGGCATGGGGCCTGGAGCTGTCAAGGCTGAGATAGAGTGTTGTCCTACAGCCACCTACCCTAGAGGAAGCACTAAGAGGCAAAACATGTCCCCGAAGGAAGGAAAGAACAGGCCCATCCAAAACACAATAGCGGAGCTAGGCTCTGGATTGGGTCTTCAAAAAAGAAATTAACCAAGTCCCTACCTGCATGGGATCCACAGTGTGTGCTTCACAGTGTGGTTAGGCTGGGCATGGTATCTGACATCTGTAATCCCAGCACTTTGGGAGGCCAAGGCAGGTGGATCAGTTGAGATCAAGAGTTCGAGACCAGCCTGGCTAACCTAGTGAAACCCATCTTTAATAAAAATACAAAAAAAAAAAAAAAATTAAGCTGGGTATGGAGGCAGGTGCCTGTAATCCCAGCTACTTGGGAGGCTGAGATATGAGAATTGCTTGAATCTGGGAGGCAGAGGTTGCTGTGAGCCAAGACTGTGCCACTGCCCTCCACCCTGGTCAACTGAGCAAAACTCTGCCTCAAAAAAATAAAAATAAAAATAAGTGGCCAAATTTATGATGGAAAAGATATAAAAGCCCAAAAAAGAGCTTTCCCTTAGCCAGAGCTGGAAATGCTGAGGAAAGGAAGGCCTCCTGGGGCAGACACTTCAGCTGAAATTTGAAAAATCACTAAGAGGCTTCTAAGTAAAGGTGCCAGGTGAGCAGACCTCACCCTAACTAGGTACATTAAGATAGAGTACAAAGAGAAAAAAAACTGCAGGTCTACAGTAGTATATGGAGAAGAAACAACAGAATAAAGAATAGGTTAAACGTTCCTGAAAATAAATATTGTTTATGAGAATAATAAAACAGGCAAAAAGAGGTTAGCAATGACTCGTGCTTTCCATCTAGTCAATCCCTTTTGGCCTGGAAAGTCACCCCTATTCTATGTCATTCTTCTTCTCCTTGCTGTCTCTGTCTTAAACATGCATTTCTTGCAATTTTACAGTGCAGTCATTCACTAAAATGGTTTCTGCACCCACTCATTGTATCACTGATTCTGGCAGAGAGCAATTCTACATCAAGCAACTTAAGTGATACGACTGCATCTGCTTAACAATTGAAGTTGGGATCACGCCTATAATCCCAAAACTTTAGGGGCTGAGCTCAGAAGTTGGAAACAATCCTGGGCAACAAGTCGAAACACTGTCTTTACAAAAGATACAGAAATTAGCTGGGCAAGGTGGTGTGCGTCTATAGTCCCAGCTACTCAGGAGGCTGGGGTGGGAGGATTGCTTGAGCCCGGGAGGCTGAGACTGCAGTGAGCCAAGATCATGCCATTGCACTCCAGCCCAGGAGAAAGAGTGAGACCTTCTCTCATTAAAAATAATAATAATAATAAAAATTAAAAAATAATAATAATCTGCTCCTCTTAGAAACACCTTACTGCAGAAATGCTGACTTCAGAGGACTTCGATCATAATGGGGTATTAGACTTGTTTCTCAAATCTCCACATTTAGTCAACCCCTGGAAATCCCATTCTTTCCTCCCATTGCTGAGAATCTAGATTTAAACGGAACAGGGAACAACCCCATGGAAATATCTCTCTACTAGAAATTGCAGGACCATAGCAGATAGAATTTCCAAAGAAACCAACCCATTTAAGGAACTCCATTAAACCATGTCTGAGAAAGTAGGGTCCTACAGCAAATGGCTGGTTCTAGTAGTGCATGCTGAGGATTAGCAAATTAAAAGCAGACTAGATTATTATCAAGCCTTAAAAAAAAGATAATTAACTTACAAAAGATTACATTAAATCATTTTTGGAAGACACCTGGTGAGATTGAAATTTTCAAATGGCCATTGTACAAATGCCTCATCCCATCGACTAGGTTTTATGCTAGGGCAAGAAGTAGCTCTTGTTCACCATGTCATCTGACCTCTATGTCATTAGCTAAATGCCGCACATGATTTAGTCCCTCAGTAAAAATGAATTGAGTTTAATTTAACTACCAGTATAAGACGGTATAAATATTTTCTCTTATAAATGTTTAACAATTTATAAGACTTTTAGAAATACTTTTTCACTGGTGACTTTAAAATGTAGAAGCCTCTCAGAGGATGTGACATAAATGCTTGCAGAGTATTCATTAATTGTTTTCTTATAGTTGTTAGTTGCTTATATTCGTATACTTTGACTAAAGTTTATTTTTAATGAATTACTTTTTATATATAACTGACATATAATAATTGTGCATATTTATGGGATACAGTGTGATGTTTCAATGCATGTGTACATTGTATAATGATCAAATCAGGGTAATTACCATATCCATCACTTTAAACATTTGTCATTTCTTTTGGTGACAACATTCAAAATCTTCTATCTTAAATACACTACATTGTTATTTGCTCTAGTCACACTACTGTATAATAGAACACCCTACTGCATAATAGAATAGAAAAATACTTTCTATGTGTTTTTTTTAATATGCCAAATTTCAATAAAATGTGTTTTTAAATTGTAGTTACTATGCTCCTGGGATTTTTTTTTTGAGACAGTCTCGCACTGTCACCTAGGCTGGAGTACAATGGCACGATCTCAGCTCACTGCAACCTCTGCCTCCCAGATGCAAGCACTTCTCCTGCCTCAGCCTTCTGAGTAGCTGGGATTACAGGCGCCTGCCACCACGCCCAGCTAATTCTTTGTATTTTTAGTAGAGATGGGGTTTCACTATGTTGGCCACGCTGGTCTGGAACTCCTGACCTTATCCACCCACCTTGGCCTCCCAAAGTGCTGCGATTACAGGCAGGAGCCACCACACTCGGCCACTCCTGAAAATCCTTATGGTGGCCATCTTGTCCAAGGTGACAGATACACAAGTCAGTTTCACCACAAATCTTGGTCAGCATGAGGAGAGAACTAAACTTGGTCAAATGTGTCAAATTTGAGAGTTAGTGAGGAAACAGGTAAACAGAGTTGAAACAGAGACTTCATTTCATGGGGCAGGTTAACAGCATTTCTCCTGCTCTGCTTTTACAGAAGTTAATGAATATGTGGCCTCATCTTCTTCTGAGTCATCCTAACCCAGAGGAAACCTAATGTCAACACTTGGTGTAAGGTGATCCAATTTGATAAAATTATTATTTATCTCTAATCCTTTAAGGGTCTTCAGGTAAGTTTGCCTCCATGATCAAATTAATATAAAAGACCAACTAGTGAAAGCTTAATGGAGCTTAATTTCAATCATTTTGTTTACTTATAAAATATTCCCCTATCATAAACTTTGACAAATCCACGCTGTCAACAAATTTCACTATGATCACAACCCAGGCCACTGTGGACTTCTGGGAGTCCAGCCTGAATAAAGACAGCAGAATCAGAACATCTATTATAAAGAAACTTTTCTGCAGATGTACAAGTCTTCCAATTTTTTTTTACAATATAAAGCTCATATTTATCCTTGCATACTGATTTACCTGTTATGCAATAGAAATATTTTGATAACAAATAACCTTTTCTTAGAGAGAGATACCTTAAGAAAATTTTCTATTTATAGTCCTTATTTTGCCCACACATTGCAGCAAACATTTACAGGTACAAGATGATTGAAGCATGGTGGATATGTGCAGACACTGCCCACCAGTCATGCCACGGTTGAGTGCACAAAGTTCTCTCAGTTCTCCTCCCTAACCAATGCTCCAGAAAGCCACTGTCTCCAGTCAGAATTGGCATGAGATGGAACCACTTCCCATTCTTCTACATGTTTCTGATTGCCTGTGTGCCCTGAGATACGTTCCTAGATGATTCTGATCCTTCTGGCCAGAAGCTTGTACACTTCAGTCCAGCTCTGCACATTCAACAACTGTGGCTTTATGCTGCTTTGCTCATGTCTGACCAAAGCAAGTTGCCTAATCATACACATGGTCACAGGAAAAACATTAGGTAGAAAGCCACCTACAACCCTTTTTATTTTCTGCCTAGTCATTTGATCTGAAGTAAACAGGGTGACTTCTTTTCAAAGTATTAATTTTCTATTTCAGTATCAAGGTAGGATTCTGCTTTTTATATTTAACTTTCATGATTTTTAAAAAATAGATTAAATAAAATAATTCATGAATTTACTGTGTATTTCAGTGAGTTCCCTTTTTTCCAGCAAGTTCCCTGTTTCTGTTATTATAGCATCAGAGCTAAAATATTGGGGAAGTCATAGTCCTACACTTCTCTTTTTCATTATACCCCTAAATCTGGGAAATCAACGAGATCTGACTATTTCTTTTTCAAAATGTTTCCAAAATTCATCTCATCATGATTGTCACCACCATAATCCTAGGGAAGACACTTGTCATCTTACACTTTTCAATCATAGCCTCACACACATACATATATACACAGAGACACATACACATATGTATACATACATGTATATTACATGTGTACATGTGTATATGCATATATAAACATATGATATATACACTTATATCCAGATACATATATATGATGCACATAGACACATATTTCATGTTTATATGTATATTAAAAGTATCCAAAGACAGAAATGTTGCCAAGTGTGAGGAAATTATATGCATTTTTTTCCACATCTAACAAAGTTAAGGATGAAATGTTTCAAAACATGAACACACACAGACACACACACACAATAAATGCAAAACTTACCGGTTGGCCTCCCCACCATCTATGATTAAATTTCTCTCGCCCTCGCAGATGAAAAGTGGCATCAAATACAGGATCATACATTGAATTGCCAACAATTCCATGTGATTCTGGATATAGCCCCTTTTTGTAAAAGCAAATTTATTGTTAAAATAATAATATGATAATCCACATATATAAGTTCTAGTATAAATTTTCTTAGCACAGAAGGTTTTATAGCAATACTTAATTTCCAAAATTATATAAGACATATATAACCTTCACTATGTATCAATTTGAACAAGCATAAATAATACCTATGGAATGAATTATAAGCCATCTGAGAAACTTGATATAAGAAATTTAATATTTTTTACTGCTGTAATTTAATAAGATGACAATAATTTTCATTACGATAAATTAACCTTCAATTTGAAATTTATACATGTGCCTCCAAAGGAGCTTTTATTTCTAAATACACTTTTCCTACTTTCTAAATTCTATTCCTCCCCAAAACAATTTTTAAAAAGAGAAATAAATTATGTTTTAAAGAAGAAAGAGTGGTAGAATTTGAAGTACCTGAAAAATTAAAATATAGCCCTGAAGTCAACATTTTTATTTGCAAATTCAGAAAACAAACAATAGACCCTTTGGTATTTGAGAGTTTAATGTATGTGTTCAAACAGAACTGCACCTGAAAAAAAGTTTCAGCTTTAAAGCTGGAATGAAGTTCAATCACCCACAAAGTTGTAAAAGGCATTTGCTGTGAACAAGTGACCCAGATAAGATGGAAAACAGAAAGATTTTCTTTGAACACTAAGAAACACATTTTAAAAGTAAACTCTCCCTTTTAAAGTCATTCCAGGATGAAATCAGCCCTTTGAATATGTATCATTTGGAAAAATACTTACAGTGGCCAAAGTGTATAAGTTAGGAAAGGTTTTAGTCGGGTACACCGGTCTCATGTAGGGAGAATGTGTGCCGCAAGACCCTGGAAAGAGAATTGCAAATATCAGAACAAGAGAACCAACAGGAATTGCTGATAGAAAATCCATTTTATAAACACTCAGACAACGTGTTGCCTTCACTTTTGTATTTCAAATAATAAAACACATTTAAAACTAAGTGCCCAGAGAGCTCATAGTTACTGTGGAGATCCTGGATTGCAGATGAGAACGCAGAGTATGGAAATTACTTACTTAGTTTTTCAATGTTAGGCATGACCTTGCTGCCTTTCTTCATGTATGATGCACGGAAACCATCCACAGAGAAGATGATTAATGGAGGGCGAACAAACCTTAAACAGTAACACATCAAGCTTTTAGAAACATTATTGCCACAGAGTTGCCATTATACCTCCTAATTCTCAATAATGGGAGCAATAATTTCCAAGAAGAAACTTCAACCAGACATGGTGGCTCATGCCTGTAATCCCAGCAGTTTGGGAGGCCAAGGCCGGTAAATCACCTGAGGTCAGGAGTTCAAGACCAGCCTGGCCAACATGGTGAAACCCTGTCTCTACTAAAAAAACAAAAATTAGCCTGGCGTGGTGGCACATGCCTGTAATCCCAGCTACCCAGGAAGCTAAAGCAGGAGAATCGATGGAACCTGGGAGGAAGGGGCTGCAGTGAGTCAAGATTGTGCCACTGCACTCAAGCCTGGGCAACAGAGCAAGACATGAAGTCTAGCATTAAAGAACAAGGTCACAAAAATGGCCTGAGAAGAGGCGCCAGATTTCCTTTAATGTACTTTCCTCCATTACTGGCTTTCACCTTGCAAACAAGGTTATTCACAATGTAAAGAAAAGATGACGTGTTTTCCCATTTGCCACCTGGAAAGCTCCTATTCATTCCTTAAAACCCAGTTCACAGTTTCCTCTTCTACATTGTCCATTGCTCACACTTGTGAATTCCTTCAAGACACTAATTCATATCTTTCATCCTTCCTATGTGCCTCATTTTACTTCACATCCTAATGATCTGTTAATGTTTGTCTTCCTTACTAGTTTCAAAGTAGTTTGTGTCTTATTCACCTTTCTATTTTATAGTCCCATTGTAGGGCTCCAGTAAATATTTCTCAAATGCATTAATGAGCAACTGAACATGAAATTAATAACACAGATCTAAGCACTTATTGAAAACAATTGCTTTATGTTTGAATATAAAATAATTTCAAAAATAATTTACATTATTGACAATCTCTAAAAAGCATAACGATAATGGGCTGGACTACCAATCTACCCAGATTGGGATCTAATTTTAAAAACAGCTTTGTATTATATTTTAAAGCTATAATTGTTCAACCAGAGTTGACAATACTGAACTATATGCAAAGCTACTTCTAATTGTTTGAAGCTAACTGAGCATATAGGCTTGAGTTTATTTGAAGCCATGTAAGAAATTAGATATTTTAAATGAGGCACATATAAAGCACTTAGAACAATACGGTGTAAGGGTTCACTATAATCATTAGTATCTTATATAGTCACTTAAAAGGACTCTTACTGGCATAGTGCAGTGGCTCATGTCTGTAACCACAACACTTTGGGGGACTGAAGTGGGAGGATCTCTTGAGTTCAGGAATTCAAGACCAGCCTGGCCAACATGTTGAAACCCCATCTCTACTAAAAATACAAAAATTGGCTGGGCATGGTGGCTACATGGGAGACTGAGGCAAGAGAATCACTTGAACCAGGAAGATGGATGTTGCAGTGAGCCGAGATAGTGCCATTGCACTCTAGCCTGGGCAACAAGGCGAGACTCCATCTCAAAAACAACAACAACAACAAAACCCTCAAAAAACCGAACATATTCATTTAACTACAAGCCAGTCATGGTTAAATTGGGACTGCCCAACAAAAATATTCTGTCAGTCATTCATGATCTGAATTCTTATGTATGAAATCTATTAAGTTATGGTACAAACTTAAAAGTCACAAAACATTTCTGTTTTGTAACAAATAACACAGTGACCATTAATTACTCATTGGTAACTGTTTTGAGATGAGCTATCAAGTCTGCCCTTTCTGCCTTGTTCTTCATGTCTGCGAAGATTGTTTTTGTTCCAGGAATGTGCTTCTTGGGATTCTCCAAATAATCCATGAGTGTCTCCTCTCCCCAGGTGATGCCTTTGTTCTGATGGGCTTCTGTGTAAGAGAATCCAATGGCTTGATCTGTCTTCTGCCCAAAGAGACCATGGAGATTTTGACCCAGTCATGAGCTTGCCTGTCTTTCCAACAGTATGGAACTAGGCACACTTCTGAACAAAAATCCTCTTGCCTTTTTCAACATCACCCATATTTAATTCTCTTTTCTATCACTGGTGCTATAAAGGATCCCATTTGGAAGACAGATATCCCACTGTCTTGAATGACTTTTTTTTTTTTTTTTTTGAGACGAGGGTCTCACTTTTTCACCCAGGCTGGAGTGCAGTGGTACAATCTCAGCTCACTGCAACCTCCACCTCCTAGGCAAGCAATTCTCATGCCTCAGCTTCCTGAGTAGCTGGAATTACAGGTATGCTCCAGCATGCCTGGTTAATTTTTTGTATTTTTTTTCTTTTTTAGTAGAGACAGGGTGTGTCACCATGTTAGCCAGTCTGGTCTCAAACTCCTGACCTCAAGTGATTCACTGATCTCAACCTCCCAAAGTGCTGGGATCACGGATGTGTAATCAATAAGTAATCAATGGATGACATAGTTTTAAAAGTTCTCTAGTCTTCCTCTTTCACTCCCCACTCCCCTCAAAATAGTCAAAACAAGAACTCCAGAAAAAAATACTGAAAAAAGTCATAGCCAGTAACGTTTCCTTCTAAGGTGATATTCAGATGCACTTTGTAAAATCTTCATCTGGGGTGGAATATAGGGGATGTTCAGACCCCAATATGTGCAGAGGTGATTGGAGAAAACCGGAGAAAAAAATCTATCCCCATTTCAAGATGTACCTTCAACCTTTTGACTGATAATTACTCCTAAGTACTCATAAGTTTGCCTGTATAAGATGATTTCAGTTTCACATTGTTTCTAAACACTTCTCTTTTCGTTTTCTGTGAGAGTTTATCAGCTACTACATAAACTTCAAAATATGCATAAAATACACTTACCCTGCAGGGCATTCTGGGGCCTTTATTTCCTCACAGTCATCATCAACCCAATGGGACTCTCCTATGAAGACAAAAAGGTACATGTATTGTTGAATCTAATTACAAGTGCCATGCCTTGAAGCTCGCAAATTCCAGGATGTGTCCTGTTTGATACTTTCTTTATGGGATATCACCAAAAAAGAAATTCTTAAGTAAAATCTAGCATCTGGTTTGGCTTTCCCATACATGATGGGAAAGCTAAGATTTAATAACCGCAAGTGGTGTGGTGTTTATTTGAGCCTTCCGAGTCTAAATGGTTTGTAGATTCAAAAAACCAGTGGCGTCAGTGAAAAAAAGTTCATGTTTGTATCCATCCAGAAATAAACTGTTTGGTCATTAGACAGAACATTCTTTTCTCCACCACTGAAGATCTCAAAGCCATAGAAAGCATGGCAAAACTTCCCTTTAGAGACTAAATAAAAAAGCCTTAGAATCTATGGAGAGAATAAATGGAAAGATTATTTGCCAATAAATCTGCATACAGCCCTTGAATTTAGAAAGAAAAACACAGCTAAATTTTACTTTTATCTTCCAAGATCTAAGAGCATAACCTGTCTTTCCTGAGTTATCGCTATCAAGAATAGAGAACAGAAAAGGACTCCGATAAAAAATAAGCTTTCCTTTGAAGAAAATAAAAATTATAGAAAAGAATTTGCCTTAAAGTATTTTAAGACAAACAAAAGTTACACATCCTGAACAGAAGTAAAATTTGTAACCAACACATTGGAGAAACTGCTCCCATGGAAAGAGCACTAGAAATCCCTGGTCAATAAGACTCTAACTACTAGACAATGGGGTAAGTAACTACTATGCTTCCTTAAAATAAAGAAGATTTACTACACATGTAGTAACCCAGAGGCATACACATGGGCCTCACAAAAGTACTGAAACTAGAATTTTAAACCAGCAAAAACCAATGCTTAATGATTCAATGATCAATGATACCAAGGGCTTCTTTTTTTAAAAAAAATTATTTTTAATATCCTTTGTGGCTTCCTGGTACGCTTGCTGCATAGGAAAATTGAAAAGGAAAGGGAAATAAATTCTCAACCAATTCAGTGCTTCAAAATAAAAGCATAATTGTTTGGGTAGGGGAAATTAACAATACAATAATTGTTTGGGTATGGGGGAATTCTTCAAATCTAATATAACACCCCCTTGCCACAACTAAACACCTTACATATTTCAGAACTGACTTGATTTCTTTCCTGAAAGCTTTTAATAGAACTTCTTAAATGTTCCACATAAAAGAAAATGAAAAGAGCTTGAATTCGAAATTTTTAAAATGACTTACAAACTATAGATAAAGATTCTTGGGTCTTCCCATGAACTTCTATAAGTGGGCAGCATGTCAACTAACACCCTTTAAAGAGAGTAACTGCATCTTTGACATTTTTGGTAGTTCACTGACTATTGTTAATTATCGGAATAAAAGCATCATATTCCACAATCAACCAGACAAAGCCAACACTCATGCATGTATGGCTTTAGGGTGTAACAGGAAACGCCGACCCCCTCGTCCCCTTTACCGGCAAGTACCCCATCCCTGGGCAGTTGCCAGTGCCTTGGTGAACGGCTTTCATCCAATGTATAAAAAAGTCCCTGGCCCCTTGACTTGAGAGTAGCAACTTGGATTTACTTTTCAGAGCAAGCAGTAGAGGGAGGTGAAGCTATATGAGAGCACGTCCTCCCTTGCCTCTCCCCATTCCTACTGCCCTAACCTGCCTCCCTTTCCGCCAACATGGTTTTCCTGCAGTACATCCATTCCCTCAATAAACTGAAAAAACAGAAATTCTGGTTTCTATCCTTGTTACCTCAGATCAATGAAATGCAGAGTAGCAAAGCTAATGAAGAAGCATGAGAACTAAAAAGCACAATTCACCTTCCTGCCAAACTCATACCCAGGGTCTTCTAGTCCTAACATCCAGGATCTCCTGGAGCACCTCCAGTTTTAATTCTTTTAAAGCTCAGGCCAATTTAAAGAAACTCATACCTTTGCAAACCACTTGGTAATTGGTACAGCAGTCTCCCCTGGCCAAGCAGTCCTCCGAGCAGTGACAGGCATTTTCTTCATTTCTGACTTCTCCACATCTGTCCTTAGTACACTCCCAGCCACGAGCTAAAATCATCCCAATAAAACATTTTCATTGCTGTGCACCAACCAAATGAAAGAAGCCACAATTGCTTACAGGATTTCCAATGAAGAGAGCTAAAATCTCACATCATTTACTCTGCTTGTGAAATTTGAGTTGGCTTGAGGCCCAGAGGACATTTGGAGACCTTACAGATAAGATGAATTTCTAAGTTTTCAAATCAGAGAACAACATCAAAATGTAGTTGGGTTCCTTTGGAAGAATGAGACCCTGAAAGGCAAGCAAGTGTCCCCACTATTCTCTAATAGTTCTAAAGGACCCAACAAATTTATGGCATCGAAGGTTTGTGATAGGTCTATCGTAGGGATGGCCTCTATAGCTTGGCCCTTTTACCTTCTGAAGTAGGTGTGCTTAGCTTTGTTTTTGTTTTATTTATGTATTTCTTTATTTCTTTATTTTTGACAGAGTCTTGCTCTGTTGCCCAGTCTTGAGTGCAGTGGTGCAATCTTGGCTCACTGCAAATTCCACCTACCTAGTTCAAGCAATTATCCCGCCTTGGCCTCCTGAGTAGCTGGGATTACAAACATATGCCACCACACCTGGCTAATTTTTGTTATTTTTAGTAGAGATGGGATTTCACCATGTTGGCCAAGCTCATTTCAAACTCCTAACGTCAAGTGATCCTCACACCTTGGCCTCCCAATGTGCTGGGATTATAGGAATGAGCCACTGCCCCCCAGCCTAAACTAGCTGTGCTTAGCGTTAACCAGCGTGGTTTAAACACAAGTAACAGGATGACTACATGGTCTCTATCTGCACCTGGAGGTTAAAGTCCTAAATAAGATGTGAAGAGTATAAAGGGGCATTACAACGTTTGCTCAAGATTCTAACCGCTGACCAAGTGTGGCCCTACCTACAATGACAAGTCAGAGTTTCTACTTTCAACAAGTCAAGTAAATGGGTTACAGATTTCCCTCTGAGCATACGCGATAGAGAGCTTACTGCTTAATGCCTACATTCAGAAAAATAACCTTTCCGTTTCAAAAGGAGTGCTATTTTTTTTTTTTTTTTTTTACTTTTTCATCTGCTAGAATGTAAACTCCATGGGAGGAAAAATGGCACCTCTCTCTTCACTCTTCTATTTCCAGTGGTAGACTGTAAGGTTGGGAGACTGTGCCTGGCACATGCTAGGTGTTCGATGAATATTTATTAAGTTGAATTGGAAATGACCATGGAGATAAAATATAACTCTTTAAATTCAGGACTACTGTATTGAGAACGTTCATAGTTAATCACTTACTCATTGACTCTGATACCATGCTTTCCATGTTCTTGGCACTGGGATATCATAAAGAACAGGAGAGACTAGGTCTGTCATCATGGAGCTTACATTCCAATTGCAAAAGACAGATCACAAGCAAGTAAACCAAGAAGCAAGATCATTTCAGCTTGTGTCAAGTGTTGTAAAGGAAGTAACAAGTAGCACTGATAGAAAAAGACAGGGTGAAAACGCTGCTTCAGGAGGCAGAATGGTCAAGAAAGGCATCGCTGAGCTAAAGTACATATGAACACTTCAGGTCTTTCTCTCTTAAAATATGTCATAAGTGGAAAGAAGGAAATGATTTTGAAAGCAATGCTGCCTCTTAGCAATATTCTACCAAGAGAAATGATCGTTAGGTGAACACATTAATAAAGAGGTATTAGTTGTTAGGCATAAGCTAATTTTTGTATTTTTAGTAGGGACGGGGTTTCACCATGTTGGCCAGGCTGGTCTCGAACTCCTGACCTCAAGTGATCCGCCCACCTTGGTTTCCCAAAGCGCTGAGATTACGGGTGTGAGCCACCATGCCCAGCCATTCTGGTTTTTTAATATCCCATTTCCATTCCCTTCTCTTTTCAAGCAGATTAAGTGCTTAGAATTACTATTTAAAAGGATGATGAGTATAATGATTTATTAATACAGATACTTTCCCACACACACATACACACACACACACACAGCTGGAAACATATACATACATACACACATAAATACATACTGAAAACATACATACATACTGATAACAGACACATACTGAAAACACACACACGGAGTGATCGAAGTTTCACTGAACACTGGTTGTTTCTAGGCAGTACTCCCTCAGCAACGGAGACTTTTGTTTTTCCTCTTCATCCTTGTATTATTATTTGATATGTGACCCCTTCACATCCAGGATATGTTATCTTTGTACACAGGGAAATGGACTATAAGATATTATCGTATCCCATCTTTAATAGACCAAGGAAGAAAGCCATGAACTACATTCAGATAGAGAGCTAAGCTAGAGTCAGGGGATCCATTAAATTTTGCAAAGAATTCTAAGACCAGGAACCCAGAAATTTGATATGACATGCCAGAGACAAGACATTCAAGGTAGGAAGGAAACATAAAACTTTAGTAAATTCCTTAGTGCCAAGCAAACACAGATTGCTGGCTTGGAAAAATGTTTTAGAGCCAAAAAGCTCTGCTGGAACATCTGTTCCATCTATACACTCAGCTTACAATCGTCTCTCCAATTTAGTTTGCAGACAGACCCACAACTAAAAGAAGCCGGGAGAAGTTCCAAAGGAAAGCGTCCCCCAAAAAAGTGGTTAAATGTTTGGAAAATGTATTCTAAAAAAAAAAAAAAAAAAAAAAAAAAAAACACCCAAATTAAGCTCTTCCTATTGTAGGGATGCAGGAGGAAAACAAATGAGAACTAGTAAGGAAGTTCATGTTGAATTTCATATAAATCAAGACCTACCACTTAAGCAAAACACAGTAATATCTATTTCTAATGATGGCATTTGAAAGATCAAACTAAAAGCAATGATAGGAAGAGTTAGGTTTTTGAAAGAACTGTTTAAGCATGAAAGTCCAAAGATAAGAAATAACTGGTCAAGAAAACTGTGGAAACTGCTTCTGGTGATGTCAAGAGCAGGACGGACTGTTGTCTTTCTCGGATATTGTGAGTATGGTGCTGTCCAGAAGAAGCATGATGGATAGCCTACAAGGTATCTCAAAAATCCTATCTGAAATATTGGGCTTTGAAGACAGAGTAGGTGGGATGGCAGAAGTCCTCAGAGGTGTTTTTCTCAATTCATGTGCATTCATCCAGAAGCTTGTATATCCTAATAACTGTTCCAGTACCAAAGAAATGTAAAGAAAGTCACAAAAACTGTGGAAGATTTTTAGAGCTACCCAGAGTGTGAGACTCCACATAGAATTCCGTAACAATTTTCCATTTGCACCGACAGCAGGGAATGACAAACTAACTGTTACTATATGGTGAGATGAAGTAAAACAAATGCTAGAAACTGGGTAAGCAAGAAAAAAAATTTTTTTTAAAGAATGTACACAATTAGGCCATGCACAGTGGCTCACTCCTATAATCCTAGCCCTTTGGGAGGCTGAGGTGGGAAGATTGCTTGAAGGCAGGAGTTCAAGATCATCCTGACCAACACAGTGAGATGTTGAAAGAAAGAAAGAAAGAGAAAAAAAGGGAGGGAGGGAGGGGAGGGGGAAAGAAAAGAGGAAGAAGAGAAAGAAAGAAAGATAGAAAGAGAGAAAGAAAGAAAGAAAGAAAGAAAGAAAGAAAGAAAGAAAGAAAGAAAGAAAGAAAGAAAGAGAGAGAGAGAGAGAGAGAGAGAGAGGGAGGGAGGGAGGGAGGGAGGGAGGGAGGGAGGGAGGGAGGGAGGGAGGAAGGAAGGAAGGAAGGAAGGAAGGAAGGAAGGAAGGAAGGAAGGAAGGAAGGAAAAAGAAAAGAAATTAAGCCCACACACCCTAGCAGTGAATGCGGGAATTGAGAGCAAGAGATATAAATGATAAAGGTGAAGAAACAAAAACAAAAACAAAATTTCCAAACTCAGCACATCATGATGCAGCTGCAAAGAACCTTCCTCTGCTGGATCTTGTGTGGAAACAATGGTCATTGACACAGGGTATGCTCTTCATACAACCAATAATCATTCAACAAACAAAACTAAAGTCCACAATTTGGATAAACCAAAACAGGTGGCCACTCCAGGATGTGTACCTAGCAGGCAGTCTTCAAGCTGTCTACTTGAAGCTGGAGAAGATTCATAAGCTACATACCTGTCTTCAAACAGAGCTCATCAAAGTCATGGCAGCAACTGGTGTAGCTCTTACACAAGTTGTCACAGCGACAATCAGGAGGTCCAACCTCTTGAAGTTCAAAGCACCTGCCCTTGCAAGATCCGGAGATGTTGGTCCAGGGGGAGTCTGACAGCACTGCAGAGAACCAGAGGCAAAGACAATGGATTGGAGAGTGGTCATGTCACCATGGAGAGGTGCACTGGGAGGCTGTGCAGTGTGATGCTGCAGTAGACTCTGGAGAAGACTGGCTTCGTTACTTGCTACCCAGGTACTCCGGGCAGGTTGCCGAACTTCCTTGTTCTACAATTTCCTAATCTGTACAGTGGGGAACTCAGAAAAGTAACATGTTGAAATGAGAATTAAATGAATCAATCCACTAAAAAAGACTTAGCAGCATGTCAGACATATAGAAGTGCTGGCAATTGGTTAGATTACTATTTATAATTATCATTACTCCAAATCTGTGATGGTTAGTGTCCCTGTAGGTGCTTACAATGACTACAGAGAACAGTACCTTGACCTATATCCTTAGAAACAGGAGAGCATGTCCCTATTTAAAAATCCAAAACTTTGGCAAGGAAAATTTAGCCCAAATGTTCCAAGAACAGACTGAATATATGAGATTGGAATAGAAGACTTTTACAATTCCAACTAGCGTTTTACAAATATAAGCTCTACAATCTTGGCTTCTCAAAAAAAAAATCCTCCATCAATATTTTCACATGATATAAGTGTATATCAGAAATCAAAGGAATCAACTAAAATTTGGGGGGGAAAATAATTCAGTAAGATAAAAATTCCACAAATTTGTAATATGCACATAATATAGTTTCAAAATTAAATGGAAGTTTCATTTTACAATAGTACCTAAATGGTAAAATAGCTAAGTATTTTATGTGGTATAAATTTAATAATATGTATGTAGAACCTACATGAAGAACATCAGAAAACCCTACCAAAAAAAAAATTTTAAGATCTAATTAAGACCAGTCGAGGTGGCTCATGCCTATAATCCCAGCACTTTGGGAGGCTGAGCTGGGTAGATCATATGAAGTCAGGAGTCTGAGACTAGCGCGGCTAACAGTGAAACTCCATCTCTACTAAAAATACAAAACTTAGCCCAGCACGATGTGGGTGCCTGTAATCCCAGCTAGCAGGAGGTTGAGGCAGGAGAATTGCCTGAACCTGGGAGGCGGATGTTGCAGTGAGCTGAGACTGCACCATTGCACTCCAGCCTGGGTAACGAGAGCAACATTCCAACTCAAAAAAAAAAAAAAAAGAAAAAAGATCTAATTAAACCTGAAGACTCAATGCAATCTTCAGCAAAAAAAAATATCAGGAGTTCATGAAAGTTGAAAGAATATTAAATAAATATTTTTAAATAGAAAACCTCTGAAAAGAAAAAGCAATTTGATAAAGACTAGATAACAAAGTATATACTGAAGTTAAATAATGAAAGTAGTTTGATACTAGAAAATAAGTAGATTAATGTTGTGTGTGGGGGGCCCAGTCAGTAAGTAGTGAGTAGAAATAATTAAGTTTGATTCTCATCTCAATATACAAAATAGTTTCTGATGAATGGAAAATATAAACAGTCTCATAACTGTTTCTAGGAATGAAATTTTTTGTAAAGTAGAATATAATTTAGAAAGATCTATCGACATTTTTAAATGCTTAAAAATGTTTCAGCCAGAAATGCTATTACTAGAAATTTATTATTTACCCATATTTGCAAAAGTTTGCCAAGCTACATGTACAAAAAAAATGTCCATTGTTCATTACAGTCCTTTCATTATAGGTGAAGAGACCCTGAAATCAACCAAAGCTGTTTTTCCTATCAAGAAAGAATCGCTACAGCCATAAGTGGACTATTGCACACCTCTTAAAAAGAATGAGTCAGATCTGTGTATGCTAATATGGAAAGATCTACAAAATATATAAATAAGTGTTTTAAAGAATAAATACAGGGTAGAGTATGATATATTAGACTTTGCATTTAAAAATAGAGATAAAGAGGGCAATAAGGATACAAAGAAAGAAAAACAGCCAGAACTAGAGAAGAGTAAAAGATAGGATGGGGCAGAGGAAAAATGTAAATGCTCAAGTTTGCATCTGTGTTTTTAAATGCAGGTGTGAATCAACTTCTTCCTTATGTAGAAACAGTTTATGGAATTACATTTGGGGAAAATGGTTGAGAAAGAAAGAGGAAGAAGATTTTTACCTGTCTGATGTTTGAAATTTCTAACATTTTACAAATTCACAGGTAGTTTCCTGGTCTTTTTGTCTGCTTACTTACTTTCTTTTTCCTTCTCTCTCATATACATACATACCTACCATACAATATATGTGTGTGTGGGTATGTATATATATGTACAAAATATATACCATATATGTGTATGGGGATATATGTGTATATGTATATGTACAAAATATATACCACATAATATATGTATGTGTGGGTATGTGTATATATGTTTAAAATATATACCATGTGATATATGTAAAAATCATATGTAACAAACACTATTGACATGAGATTTCTAAATTTTCTTATTTACATGTTTATGAATTTTTCATTTTTTATAATTCATATGTCTTACTTTTAAAATCAAGGAAAAGAAGCAGGAAGAGAACAGATGTTAAATGTCATTTCTAGTTTTGCCCAAGCCATTTATCTGAACATTCTGCTCATCGCTTAGTCCTTTGTCCTCAAAGTTAAAGTCATCCAATCCCAGCCTTTACGGCATCAGATCAGTTCAACTAAGGCAAACAGATTTACCAGACCATGAGATGGGAAACACTTCTGCATGGTTGATCCTAGGATGTTGAAAGACACATAAACCATACCAGTTCAGTTTAGGAAAGAACACTTGTTAACAATGCAGTGGTCCATAAACCCACATTTTTCTATTGACTTTGGCCAACCTATCAAAAGTGCATGCTGAACCATACGAAACCATGGAGGCAGGAGGGGTTGAGAAACACCAAAAAAACAAAAAGAAAGAAAAAAATACAAAAAAGTCCTACAGTTAAAATAAGTATAAGGAAAATACTTTCAATTGAATATTACTTGAGGGTACTGCTTAGATAAGACTCATTTCAACAGTCATCTTGTAAATTTTCAGTAGCCTTCAATGACTCGAGATGCTTACATAAATAAACTTAGCTGGCCGGGTGCAGTGGCTCATGCCTGTAATCCCAGCACTTTTGGAGGCTGAGGCGGGTGGATCACAAGATCAGGAATTCAAGACCACCCTGGCCAATATGGTGAAACCCCATCTCTACTAAAAATACAAAAACATTAGCCAGGTGTGGTGGTGCATGCCTGTAGTCCCAGCTATTAGGGAGGCTGAGGCAAGAGAATCGCTTGAACCTGGGAGGCGAAGGTTGCAGTGAGCTGAGATCATGCCACTGCACTCCAGACTGGTCCACCGAGAGAGACTCTGCCTCAAAAAAAAAAAAAAAAAAAAAAAAAAAAAAAAAAAAAAAAACAACTTAGCTACACTGGTAGCTGACATACTTCGAAGAGATCTAAAGGTTATTTGTTTACGGATGTGTGGTATTCCTGCATGCATTTGAAATTGTCCTTCAACCATGCACCTTGCTTTCTTGTCATCATAAGCTCTTCCCTATTTATTTTATTGTTTTTTATTTGTTTGTTCGTTTGTTTGTTTGTTTTACAATAGAGTTTTGCTCTTTTTGCCCAGGCTGGAGTACAATGGCACGGTCTTGGCTCACTGCAACCTCTGCCTCCCAGGTTGAAATGATTCTCCTGCCTCAGCCTCTCGAATAGCTGGGATTACAGGCACCCACCACAACACCCAGCTAATTTTTGTATTTTTTGTAGAGATGGGGTTTTACCATTTTGGTCAGGTTAGTCTCAATCTCCTGACCTCAGTTGATCCACCTGCCTCAGCCTCCCAAAGTGCTGGGATTACAAACTTGAGCCACTGTGCCTGGCCTATTTCTTTCTTTACTTTCAGAATATCTGTGCGAATTTTTAGCCACATTTAATCTTTCTTCACTCATTCTGTCAAGCTGATTTTTACCATTTTCTTGCAACCTTAATCATTCTCTAAATTTGTTCCTGAAAAATAATTGAATCTCATCTAATAGTTGGTCCCTATCAGTTACAGTCCTTGCCAAACTTAAACACAAACAAAATTAAAGACCACTTTGTTAGAGTTAGCCTTACACTCATAATGCAAGATGTATCTCAAAAGAAGTACCATACTTAAGATTAAGTTATTGACAGCTTCAAATTAGAGTAAATTCCTAGGCCTGGGTAGATCAGGATATACCTATGTTAAAATTCATTCTTGAATGACTTGAATTTAGCTGAGAATTACAGGAAGAGAAAAAGGAAGGTAGTTTGAACCAAATAGAACCTCTTATAAATCAATAACCCCAAGAAATTTGAGCTGCTATCTTTTTTTTTTTTTTTTTTTTAGGTGGAGTTTTGCTCATGTCACCCAGGCTGGAGTGCAAGGGCGTAATCTCAGTTTACTGCAACCACACTCTCCTAGGCTAAAGCGATTCTCCTGCCTCAGCCTCTCAAGTAGCTGGGATAAAGGCGCCCACCATGCCCAGCTAATTTTTTGTATTTTTAGGAGAGACGGGGTTTCACCATGTTGGTCAGGCTGGTCTTGAAATCCTGACCTCAGGTGATCTGCCCACCTCGGCCTCCCAAAGTGGTGGGATTACAGGTGTGAGGCACCGGGCTGGGCCAAGCTGCTATCTCTCTTAAATAAAAGAGAGTGAGTATATGACAAAAAGAAGTACCATACTTAAGATTAAGTTATTGACAGCTTCAAATTAGAGTAAATTCCTAGGCCTGGGTAGATCAGGATATACCTATGTTAAAATTCATTCTTGAATGACTTGAATTTAGCTGAGAATACACACTCCTGTATGCAATGGAAACAACAATCTTGAGTTGAGTGTACAAAACATAAATAAAATGATTAAATTAACAAATAAATAAACAATAGAATGGAATATTCACTTTGCCTTTCCAGGGTCTATTCCAGCCCAGCCATCTTCTTTCATGACAAGCTCTAGTCCCAATTGTTTTCCTAGAGGTTCTGCAATTCACCTTCATATTCTTTTTTTAATCATTTTTTATGGATGAATAA